GTCTGAAAGAGACTGGAGGGACCACTGAGACTGTTGCCCTAAGATAACCTTCTAACTTGAAACTGTAGATACTCCCAGAGGCCACCTTTCAGCCAAATAATAGGGCTATAAAATAAAACAGTAACATCTATGATGAATGTGCTCCTTAGAACAATTGACTATACGAGACCAAAAGGGAAACATTTGCCCAAAACCAAAGATGAGAAGACAGGGAGGGACAGGGAAACTGACCTAATGGAAATGGGGAACCCAGGGAGGAAATGGGGAGAGTGCTGACAGATTGAGGGGATTGCGACCAAGGTCATGAAACAATTTGTATATGAGTCATTGATTGGAAAATTAATTTGCTATGTAATCTTTCACCGAAAGCACAATAAAATGTTAAAAAAAAAAAAAAATCTATATGAGACCAAAAGGCCAACAATTACTCTAAGACAAAGATGAGAACATAAGGGGGCAGGGAAACTAGAGTACTAGAAATAGAACAAGCAGAAGAAAATTAAAGAGAATATTGACACATTATGAAAAATGCAACTAATGTCACTAAACAATTTGTATAGAAACTGTCAAATGGGAACCTAATTTGCTGTGTAAACTTTCACCCAAAATGCAATAAAATATTATTTAAAAAAAAAAAAAGACTATTACCCTGAGATACTCTTTAAACCTTGAACCAGAACTAACCCCCAAGGTCATCTTTTAGCTAAATAAGAGATTGGCTCACAAAATAAAGAATATCACCCATGAGTACTGTGCTTCTTTAAAAAATCATCCGTATGAGACCAAATGGTCAATAATTACTTTAAAATAAAGATGAGAATGGAAGGGGTCAGGGAAACTAGATTAGTGGAAACGAAACAACCAGAATGGAAATATTGAGAATGCTCATGCATTGGGAAAAATGTAACCAATATCAGTGAACAGTTTGTGTAGAAATTGAGTGAGAACCTAAACTGCTGTGTAAATCTTCACCGAAAACACAATGAAACATTTTTTTAAAAATGCAGTACTGCTCAGTTCCTCAGCAACACTGAGCCAATTTGTTAGGTTGTAAGCTTGTGGGACCCCAGGATTATAAGGTCTCAGGAGAGAGTATTTTCATAATAAACTGAATTTAATCAGATGCTTCCAAAGCATCAGGCTTAATACCATTCTTTTCCCATTCAGATAATTCTATCCAGACTATGATCACTTTTGACCAAGGTGGAAGGTGGACGCACCTGAGGAAGCCTGAAAACAGTGAATGTGACGCTACAGCAAAAAATAAGAATGAGGTTTGTTTGACTGTGATCGTCATATGTGTTTAGAGCAAAGCAGCCATTCTGGTTTGCTCTTCCCAGTGCCTGGGCTTTTGAAAAATGAAGCTCCATACTTAATTAGGGTCTATAGCTTAAGATGGAAAGCTTGGAAAGGAGAGTAATGAGATTAATTTAGAATTGGGGAAGTAGGGACTGTGAAGAAAGGTTTGTTTACCTTTTAAAGAAAAATCTGAGGGATAACAATTTGTGTTTTGCCCAACTGTTGAATGAGGACAGAATGGACAGACAGGCTGGTGATTAGTTAAGAGGTCAGCATGGCAAGCTATGAGACCGTAGAAATCCTACAAAAAGCCATAGACCAGCTATTCACAAGCATTGTTTCTGTCAGCAAAGCTTGTTTCTGTCAGCAAAGCCATGCTGGTCAGAAACAAGTAGGAGAGGGCTTGGCCTTCTTCCCTTTCTCCCTGGGCCCCTGGGTATGGGTGGTGATCTGGTTAGTGCACGTGAAAGCAGGCGCTCTCTGAGGAGAGACTGGGAACTAGAAACCCAAAGGAATAGCATGGGGGGTGGGGTGGTGTTCAGGGATTCCCAGAGTGACAGGTCTTCACAGGAAGAAGAAAAAGGGGGGAAATGAAAAACTTTATGGCATTTAAAGGTGCTTGGGAAACATGGGGGGATTTCTTTAAAAAAAATGGCAGTACTGGTAGTTCTGAGCCCTCCTTGGAGTACCTGTTGCTTACATCAGCACTCTGCCCTCCCAAGGCTGGGTTTTTTGTTTTAAGAACCCCAGACAGTGTGAGATGAGTGTACCTCCCAAACCCCAACACTCTCTTTCCCTTCCCAACACTTGTAAGTGCTGTTGATTCCCTCTCTACCATCTCTTTTGTTTGCATCCCTCTGCCTTGGCCTTCGAGCCCTGGTGGTGCTGTGGTTAAGAGCTCAGCTGCTAACCAAAAGGTCAGCAGTTCAAATCCACCAGCTGCTCCTTAGAAACTCTATGAGGCAGTTCTACTCTGTCCCATAGGGTCATTATGAGTCAGAATCTATTCAACGGCAATGGGTTTGGTTTGCCTTGGTCTTGTCCTGTGCACCCTCCTCACCTTGAGCCTGGGACGTACAGTGGCCTCTTCAGTTGCTTTGCCACCTTCAGGTTCCCCATGCCTCTCCCTCCCCAACACTTTTCATGGTCTCCCCTTGCTTGTGAATAAAGTCTGTGCCTCTGGCCTGGTAAATGAAGGGTCTCACCTGTCAGTCTTTCTTCTGCCTTTTCATCATCACTTCCCACTTTATCACCAGCATACTCCTTGTTGTAACTCACTGTCATGCCCTGAACACCTCTGTGGCCTACTCACACTATTCCTGGGGGAAGCTGTGCCCATCCCTCCCTCCCCTAATTGTCCACCATTGGAAACCCTAACTATCCTTAGTGCCCATCTTCAGTTGGGACCAGTCACTCCTCTTTATTTTATCAATATTTTGCTTCAACTTCTTTTAAAGTACTTAAAGTACCAACTTTCATTCTGCTTTACACCTCAACTGGTTTCTGGTATATTTCTTAAAGACAGGACTGAGTCTTATTTGTAATCACCACGGTATCTTGTACAGTGTCTGGAATAAGTTTATTTGGTTGGAATCACACTCTACACATTGGTCAGAGGCTTTGGTATGATGCAGGAATAAACTAAGGCAGATTACAAATGAGAAAATAATTGTATAATTTGCTACCAAATATTCTAATGCATTTCAGAATCAAGAGTATCCACTGAGGTCTGGGTTAAGTTGAAAGCTTTATTAGAAGGCTCTGTGAGATGAGTAAAGAAGTTGAACCTTTGGTTTTAATCTAAGCTTGGTTTCTTTTCACAGTGCAGTCTTCATATTCACGCTTCCTACAGCATCTCCCAGAAGCTAAACGTTCCAATGGCCCCACTCTCAGAGCCTAATGCCATAGGCATAGTCATCGCTCATGGTAAGAGGCCCTCCTACTTCATGGACAGAAGTAGCTGAGCACGCTGAAACTCAGTCACAGCCTTTTGACCCTATAAGAAAACTACTGGAGATACCTTTTGCATTCCTTTAGTACTTTGGATTCTTCTTAGACTCCCAACAGAGAGCAATGTGACTTTTCCCCTTCCCACGTTGTTGTTAGTTGCCGTTGAGTCACCTCTGACTCATGGCAACCCATGTACAACAAAACGAAATGTTGCTTGGTTCTGTGCCATCCCCATGATCGTTGGTAGGCCTAAGTCCATTGTTGTGGCCACTGTGTATTTTGAGTGCCATCCAACCTAGGAGGCTCATCTTCCAACGCTGTATCAGACAGTATCCTATTGTGATCCATGGAGTTTTCATTGGCTGATTTCTGGAAGTAGATCATTAGGACTTTCTTCCTAGTCTGTCTTATTCTGGAAGCTCCCCTGAAACCTGTCCACTATTGATGACCCTGCTGGTATTTGAAATACTGGCGGCATAGCTTCCAGCATCACGGCAACTTGCAAGCTGCCACAGCACAACAAACTGACAGACGCTGGTGGTCCAAATTTTTAGTGGTCTTCTTTTCTACCATAAGAGGCCATATGGGAAATAATGAGAATAAATTCATTCAAAAATACTCCCTTGGCAGTAAATCCTCTGTTCTGTTGTCCATTTGTGCTGATGAGATGGTGGATTGTGTTGCAGGTAGCGTGGGGGATGCCATCTCAGTTATGGTCCCTGATGTGTACATCTCAGATGATGGGGGCTACTCCTGGGCGAAGATGCTGGAAGGACCCCACTATTACACCATCCTGGATTCCGGAGGCATCATTGTGGCCATTGAGCACAGCAGCCATCCTATCAATGTGATTAAGTATGCATGAGCTCATCTCCACCCACACTGTCTGCATAGAGGGCAACTGTGGCAATGTTCTTCAGTTTATGGGGGTGGGGGTGGGGGGGATGTTACTTATCCCAGTTCAGATGTTTGCATTCCACAGAACTGTAGGGAAAGTTCTTGAAGGGCTTGAGTTTAGAGCAACTCAGATTAAATGGTTTTTCTTTTTCCTCTGACTCCCTCTAGCTAATACACTGTGTCATTTTTTTTTAAATATTCTTTTTTCTCTCCACAAAAATAGATGTATTCAAACAGAACTTGAGAATGACATCTGAAGTAACAAGTTCTTATAAAATAATTTCAGTTTATTGAAAACTCTATTTCCTTTGAGAGGATTTTTTAAAAGATAATTACTTCTATACTCTCTCTAAATGAATCCCTTTTTCCTTCCCTCTTAACGATAGGCATTAAAAATTAATATAATTGTCAGGCAGTAAGCCATCACCTAAATATGAGGGATTTTCTCGGATTTGGAATCACACAGCAGGGTGGTTTTCTGATGTTCCCAGTGAGCATTGATCCTCTGTCATGATTTTTTTCCACTTGTGGTTTCAGGTTCTCCACAGATGAAGGTCAGTGCTGGCAAACCTACACGTTCACCAGGGAGCCCATTTACTTCACTGGCCTAGCTTCAGAACCCGGAGCCAGGTCCATGAACATCAGCATTTGGGGCTTCACAGAATCTTTCCTCACCCGCCAATGGGTCTCCTACACTATCGATTTTAAAGATATCCTTGAAAGGAATTGTGAGTGTCTCCTTTGGCATTTTCTGCCGGAAACTTGCAAGCCCATTTTCCTAAATAACCAATTTGATTTAATTTAACTAAAGTAAGCAAAGGCTCATGAAAGGGGATTGAAGTATGTTGCATGTGGGTAATTAAGCTATGGAATGGTATCGGAGAAGCAGCTTCCTCTTTGGACTAGCACTGTCCAATAGAAATATAATGAAGGCCACATGCATAATTTTAAATTTTCTGTTAGCTACGTGAAAAAAGTAAAAAGAAAGGTGAAATTAATTTTAATGACAGTTATCTCAGTACTTTCAAAATACTATTTCAACGTGTAAGCAATTTTAAAAAATTATTAATGAGATATTTTACATTCGTTTTTTTCAAACCAAGTCTTTAAAATCCAGGGTATATTTTACACATGCTTTTACAGCAAATTTCAGTTAGGCCAGCTGCATGTGCTAAGGCCACCATGTCGAACAGTGTAGCTTTGCACTTAGAGGGATCTCTGTATCTTTTATGCAACTTTCTTCCTGATGGTAAGAATAATGCATGCTTGTGTTTATCTAAAATAATTGGAAAACATTTCAGGGTTTTCGAAACCCCTGATTAGGAAAACACAGTAGAACTGTAAAGAGGAAACTTTAGGGGAAACCGTATTGCAAAGTGCATCTAATTGATTATATCACTTACTGAAATGTTGAAGTGAGGAAGTGTCCATGCTAAGTATTTTGGCTTGAATGTCAGTCACAGGTGAGGCTCTGGAATAGCCACCAGGGTCAGCGGGACGCCTGCACTGACCACGTCAGAACTCTGTGACTTCAAACCAGAAGGCATGTTAAAGGCCCCAAAAGTGGCTTCAGAAAATAAGTTAAAATGGTACTCGCAAAGTGTTCATTCCTAAAGAATCACAAGCAAACCCAAACCTCAGTACCAAAGATGCTGACACGGTGCTGAAAAAAAGAGAAGATAAAAGAAAAAAACTAGAGAAGCAGTGACTGCCCTGTGACTGGTAGTTACATGTTGGCATAATAGAATAAAAGACACATTTACATTTCAAGACACTTTAGTTGAATTGTGTCCTTACTGTCAGACTGCGTTGTGGGTCCATCTCCTCAGACCATTAGTTCAGTGACTCCTGGGGGAGGCAGCACTCCAGTTTGGGCCTTACCTTTTCTACAACATGTTTAAATACGATTTAATACGTGAGTGTTGTTGTCTAAATTCATTAAATAGTCTGTAAAGGATCTGGCTTATAAGTTTTCCCCATAGCAAGCAATTCTACAGTTACCCTAGTTTAACCCATTGTCATTAAAAGATGCGTTAATCACCTGCCCTTTGACAGGCTATATGAACTGCTAACCGAAAAGCTGGTGGTTCAAACCCCGCAGCAGCTGTGCAGGAGAAAGATGTGGCACTCTGCTTCTGTAAAGATTGACAGCCTTGGAAACCCTATGGGGCAGTTGTACTCTGTTCTGTAGGGTTGCTGTGAGTCAGAATCGACTCACTGGCCATGGAGTTTTTGGTTTGCTGGCCTTCATATCCCAAAGCATGAAAACTTAATCCACAGTCTTTAGGTCATAGCCTTTGAGTCATTTTTCCAGAAGTGGATGATATGATATACTAAGCCAGAAACTGTCATCGTCAACAATCTACCTTGGAGAGCCAGTTAACTAGAGTTAGAGGTCTAGAAAGAGAGCCTTTTCTCTTTTGTTTGAAGCAAATTAACCTGTAGTGAAATTGAACTCATGCCCTTGGCTAATTGGTGTCTTGTCCTAAACAAAGAGCTCCCTGACCCAAGGGGAAAGCACTCTGGTTGCTTCCCCTGGCAGCTCCTCCTGACGGACGGCATAGGTGTATAAGACATACAGACAGCAGCCTCAGTTTGGAAGGAACTCTAGAGGTCCCCTGTCCAGCTTTCTACTTTGAAACAAAACTTTTCCCAGTCCTCAAATGGATGGTGAGATGGAAAGAATCATGTTTTGTCATGAAGAAATGCCAGTTGTTAGTAGGCTGCAGACTAATGTATCTTTTCGTTTGCAATTCCAAAAGGAAGCAGTAGGCTGAGTCAGACCTTCCCACTGTCCCTCTCCTTGTTCTGCTGGTAGCCTGGCAGCTGCCTCACGTGGGTGGGTTCTGTGCCGTGCAGTTTCCTGAACAGCCTGTCTGTCCTTTAGGTGAAGAGAAGGACTATACCGTATGGCTGGCTCACTCCACAGACCCTGGAGAGTATGAAGATGGCTGCATTTTAGGCTATAAAGAACAGTATCTGCGGCTACGCAAGTCGTCCGTCTGTCAGAATGGTCGAGACTATGTTGTGACCAAGCAGCCATCCATCTGTCTCTGTACCCTGGAGGACTTCCTCTGGTATCAGCATTCCTCAGATCCCTTCTGTTGGCCCCTTTCCCATGTTGGAGGAGATGAAAGACAGTTGTCTTATAGGGCTGAAAAGTACTTTAATCCTTTTCTTCCCCAAGAGTGGAGAACTGCTGGCTTCTTATCTTTTTATAGGCAAGGAAACTGAGGCACAGAGAAAGGGAACCAAAATTGTTAATAGTTGGGCAGATAATATCATATTGGACAGTTAATTATTGGGCAGAATCAGCAAAAAATCCCAAAATTCCTGACTTAGCAAAGATGGGAAGGAGAAAAGGTATATAAGGAGGAAGAGAATAAAACAAAAAACCTATAGAAAATGACAAGACAAAAGCACCAAGAAAAGTAGCACAGGAGCAAAGAGGAAATTAGACTTTAGAGAATAGCCCAACAGCTTGCGGTCAGGAAGTTTGGGGCCCTCTGCAAGACTGGAGGCAGAAAGAGTGGGTGTGTTTTGAGACAGGAGTGCCATCAGAATGTTTATGGTCCTTTAGAGTCCATCAGGATGGACTCCTTAGAGTTGAGTACTATCCACACTTAAGGATAAGTTACGTGGCTGGCATAGGGTTAGCAGACTGAACAAGGGCAAGGGAGTCCCTGTGTAGCTTAAGTGAGGTAATTTTAGGGGAACTGCCTCTCATCACAGGCAATAGTCTTATGGAACTCATTACCTGCCAAAGATACTGTGGATCCCAAAGGATTTGAAGAAAGAAGGCAGGCTGATAGCAGTCATGTCTTCCCACGTCACATTCCCTTGCACTGCAGGTGACAGCAGAATACAAGTCTGAGCAAAATACAAGCCTGACCCAGCATGGTTCCTCCTGTAGGCTCCTGTCTGTAAGTGGTGTTAGGGGCCCTCCGTCCTGTATTTCCACAGGGGAAAATATCGCTCAGAACACCTTTGGTTTTACAGTAGGACTAGAGGGGTCATGATACTGTAAAAATAAAAAGGATTATCTGCCATCCTTCACTCCACATATGCTAGGCTCTTAATTATCTAAGCTGCTGTTTTCTAAAGATGTTGTGCTTCTTCAGGGCTCTGTGCCGTTGCCTGGAAGGTCTTTCCATATTCCCTGCTTGACTTCTAAGCCTGGTGAATTCCTACTTGTCATTTAATACTTAGTTCAGATATCACCTTTTTAAAATCTTCCCCACCTTTCCCTCACCTGGGCTTCTGTTACATGCACTTACTATATTTTAATTATTGTTTATAGGTTTGGTTCCACCATTAAACTCTAAACTCTTTGAAGTCATGTTTGATAATAGTATAGTAGCAATGATAACAGCTAACATATACTGAGCACTAACTCTATACTGGGCACTGTCCTAAGTGATTTATATTTAACTTCACAACAGCCATATGAGATAGGTATTGTTATTTCCATTTTACAAAGGAAAGAACTAGGCATAGAAAGGTCACGACTAACTTGGCCTGCAGTCACGAGCCACAAAGTAGCAGAGGTGGAATGTGAACCTGGCAGTTAGGCCCCAGGGTCCACACACTGTACTACACGCACTTGATAAACGTGTCCAGTGTGAATAGAAAGGGTACTTTTCCTGAAATTTTGGATTGAAAACCTAGGTTTTTACCAGTAATTTCTCCCTGCTGTCTTCTGCATCTTTTGTTCTCCCTACCCTCTCCCCTAAATATTTGTCAGAAAAACGTTGAATTATGAGCAGCATCAATATATTCACCAAATCTTCACTGAATACTTGCAATGCAAGTGTTAATGAAAAGTTTGTTATAAACTTTGTCCTGGTAAGACAAGTACATAATTAAGATGCAAAACAAGGTGGTAAGTGCCCATGGGGTTTTATAGAAGGGAGAGAATATTTCAACTAGAGCTGGGTGGAAGCGGGTCAAAGAAGACTTCTTTCAGGAGGTGGCACAAAGAAAGGTGTGTGTGGATAGGGCCACGAGCAGTGTGTCAGGTGCTGCAGAGCAGGTGGTCAAGATGAATGAGACCGGGGCGGGGGGGCTCCACTGGGTGTGATGACTAGTGAGCCTTCATGGGTGGTGGAGACATTCATTCATTTTCAAGGTTGCAGTGAGGGATGGAAGTCGAAATGCATGGGGTAAAAACTAAACGAGTAATAAGTGAAGTGGAACAAGCAAAAATAGTCTTTTAAGAAATTTGGCTAGTAAAGGAGACAATTGAGAAGTAGCAGGGTTAAAGAAGTAATTTCTAGAGTAAAGGACATATGTAGGCTAAGGAGAAGCCACCAGTGGAATGGGAGAGATTGATTGATTGCCCCCTTTCACACTCTCAATGAAGCAAGGCAAGGTAGGTAGGAAAGATGGGACCAAAGATGTTGATGTAGGGGGTCAGCCATGGAGAGAAGGCAGGACATTATTTCTTTGGGGAAAACAGGAAAGGGAGAGTGGATGGGTGACACTATGGAGAGATGAGATGGAATGGAGGGCAGTAAAGCGCACTGAGGTTGGAGTAAGAGGCAAGAACCATCTAAGGAGCTAAGAGGGACAGAAGTGGGAAGGCAGAAAAAGGTGGACATAAACCCCACGGGCAACATAATAATGAGTTCTTTGGAGGTAAATAAATGAATTGCCAACTCTCCCTGAGTTTAGATCTGCTGTCAGTGGCACTGTTTCTCTGTGACCTCCACTGTATCTTAGATGCACGGGTCCCCACCCACTGCAGGCTGCATCCCGTGCTCTCCCTGGACCTGAGCAGGAGCAGCTGGGCAGGGCTCCCAGCCTTTGGGCTTCTCCCTAGTGAGAACTAAGCCCACCAGGATTTTTTTTTTTTTTTCTTTTTCAATAAATTTCTCTCCATGCCTCTTTTCCTAAATGGGTCTTCTTGAGAGGTGGCATAGGCTTTCCTGAGCTACCTTGTAGCCACCTAAGACTGGAATATTAACCATCCACTGCCCCACAGAAACCTCCGTTGCTAGCCGCTTACTGTCTCAGCAACTCTGAAAGCTTTCTTATTTGCTGTTTCTTGCAGTGATTTTGGCTACTTCCGTCCAGAAAATGATTCAAAGTGTGTGGAACAGCCAGAACTGAAGGGCCACGACCTGGAGTTTTGTCTGTATGGGAGAGAAGAGCACCTGACAACAAATGGGTATGAGAGCTTTGGCTCCCTTATCACGACAGATGAGTCATCATCCCTCAGGATGAAAAGCTGCTTTCCACACAGAGATCTGAGAAAATAATTAGAGCACTCTAGAAAAAGCACTGTCCAGTAGAACTTTCTGTGATAGTGGAAATGTTCTATATGTGCTGTGTGCTCTATGGTAGCTACATGTAGCCATTAACACTTGAATGAGACTGAATTTTAAATTTTATTTAATTTTAATTTAAATAGCCACCATATGGGACAGTGCAGTTCTAGAGAAGCCTCTTTACCTCCCTCCCCTGGTAAATTTTTCCACCTCTCCTGTGTTTATTCCATTGGTTACACACATCCCTAGGGTCATGGTTCTTTGGCACAGTCTCTTAAGACAGAAAGGACAGGCATGTCCCTGGTGGCAAGGCCAGACCTGGTTAGTCGGCTCAGCCTGAAACGTCATAAAATGCCCCCAAAATATCCCCATGAGACATTCCCCCAGGCATAAAAGGTGGTGTAAAGACGAGAAGCTTTTCTGCAGCTTTTCAGATCTTCTTTTCAGGAAGTAGGCAAGAGCCCAGGAATACATCTTTGTATTCTGTTAACAAGTCTTTGCTGCCTTTCAGATACCGGAAAATTCCAGGAGACAGATGCCAAGGTGGGGTGAATCCAATTCGAGAAGTAAAAGACTTGAAAAAGAAATGCACAAGCAACTTTTTTAGTCCAGAAAAGCAGGTATGTTAAAGCAGCTCTGGTTTAGGTACAGTGGGATTTTGTGTTCTGCCAGGAAAAATCAAAGTTACAGCATCAAGAATTTTATTAATGAATACAAAGTGAGCACACTGCTTCTGACAGGCTTCCCTTTGGACAGGAAGTTACTAGGATAAAGGATGGGTCATATAACCCAATTATAAGCTCATCCTGCTGAAAACTCCTTTTTTGGAAAGAAATGGTATTCTGATCAAGTCAGGTGCCACAGAAGCACAGAATTGAGGAAATTTCTGAAATTTAGGAAGAAGACTCCAGAAGTTTGGCTCTAAGGTTTTTCACATATGCAAAAGAGCACTGGAGGATGAGGAGTGGGTCTTGGTGCTGAGTTATGTGAAGTGTATATTCAGAATGAAGACCTGAACTATGGCAATGGACTGGTTTTATTTAGCAAGTTGTGGGGCTGACTACAAATCTGCAGTACTGAACTCTCTGGCTGGAATTTGAGGATGTGGTAAAGAGGACACCTCTTTTGATAAAGGAGCACTGGACTGGCAGTGTGACATGGGGCAGTAAGCTTTGGGCCCCAGTTCCCTAATCTGTAAAATGAGAGGTTGAGCTGGATAGTCTCCAGTCCCCTCGTCTCTCATAGTCTAAGGGGTGAGGGACTGGCAAGGGGTGGGATTTGGAAGGCAATGGAAGAAGAGTGTGTGGGTGTGTGTATTTGTAAGGGGTCAAGTTCCTCCTTCTCTGTACCTTCTCTGTACTCCTGATGGCTGTCCTCAGGGCGTTTGTGTGTGTGATTGCACAGGACTCCCGCCCACAGGGACACAACTTGTCCCAGAATCCAGCTCTGCCTCCTGTTGGATACAATGAAAACACACACTCCCTATCTCCCACCCAGAAGCAGGTGATTCACACTCCAACAATGATATAAGAAGGTTTATTTGTAAAAATATACCAGAAGTCAAGTAAAAAAAAATACAAAAAATAATTCTTGGTGTCATATACTGGACTGCCTGGTATAGCAGTAACACAGCTTCTTCCCAAATAATGAATGGCCCTATTTTAGATTCATTCGGCCCACTATTATCATAGTCCCTCTTTGCATTCCACCCTTAAACTCGAAGACTAGGAAACAGTGGTAGTGTGGAGCAGTCACAATTACCATTTGTTCTAGGCAGTTGCCAAGGCTCCTGTGTAACGTTGACACTGAAGTCACTGAGTTTGTAGCATTCTGGCAGCTTCAGGCAGTTGTGGCCCTGATTTCCCTCTACCAGCAGTGATATTCTCTTGGTGTCATTGAGATGGTTCATCGTGGGGTGTTGGAAAAATATCATCATTAAGTGCCTGGGGACTTTACATCATTTACAGAGAAACGAGGGGGATGCACAACCTCTTTAATTCAGCCTAGGATATATGTACCTAATAAATGCTTTTATGTATGTGTTTTAATTCATCAAGAATTCCAAGTCAAATTCTGTTCCAATTATCCTGGCCATTGTGGGATTGATGCTGGTCACAGTCGTAGCAGGAGTGCTTATTGTGAAGAAATATGTCTGTGGGGGAAGGTAAGAAACGTGGAAGTCAATCAGAGGTACTGAATTCAAACCAGAAAGTTGGCCATATGTTTGAGTCTGTCCTTGGCAAAAACTAGTTAGTTGAAGTGATGTTCCTGAAAAATCAGACCCAAATGTTTCATATCTTACATTTTCCATATGTCAGCTGTGGGCTCTGCTTCCAGTAAGTGTGACTCACTCTGTGAGTATATAAAACTCCAAAAATCCACACACAGTCTTATAAGAAATGCACCCCTTCTCGCAGCATGAGGATTGACAGAGGTCTCCATCCCTAGGTTCCTGGTGCATCGCTACTCTGTGCTGCAGCAGCACGCAGAGGCCAACGGAGTAGATGGCGGGGATGCATTGGACCCAGCCTGCCGCAGCCATAAAAGTGGTTATCATGACGACTCAGATGAGGTGAGACTATTTCTTTTGAGGGGTGGTCCAAAAGTACAAAGAAAGGGTGGTTCCTTACTTGATCAAGATAGATTGGGACAAAGGCGGAGGGAGACAAGCTAGAAGCTGCAACTTAATGTCTGTCTGTAAGACTTGGAAAGCCCAGAAACTAGGTGATTGCCTTCAAAATGGGAATTCTTCAGTCAGTCAATAATACATTGCATGTCTTTCTCTTCAGGACCTCCTGGAATAGCTCTTCACAGGAGCTGGGACCAAGCATGAATGATGGAACCGCAGTACCTCTTACACTTCCTGTGGCTCCGACTTGGGGAAATAAATTTCCCCTTGCGAGGGACCCAGCTCTGTTTCTGCTGCTTCCATCAAAGCCAAAAGGACCACCTACACTAAAGAAATGCAGGGTGGGGTGGAGAACTCTAAATGCTCTTACAATTGGCTCTGAGAAGAGGAGGGAAATCTTTAAATTGTTTAACTTTAATGTTCTCTTTTTTTTTTTTAAGGGAATTGGGAGGGGATTTGAAGGGAATGTTTCACTAACCCCACCCTTGCGTGTCTTACATGGCACCTGCCCCAGGGCAGCTGCAGCCTCCAGCATCACAGTGTACTTGGTGCTGTCCCTAGGCTCTGCTGGCCACTTAAGCAGCTGCGGAGATGAAAACAGAGGCTGCAATGATTGGCACAGCCTGGGCAGCTTTTCTCCATCTGGGGACAGCCCTGCTGCAAGAACATTGCACACCAGCTCCTCACATGGGTCCCTGACCGCCCCCCGCCGCCCAGGGACCATAGACCACAGTGATTAATGTCTTTCCCTACTTAATTAGGCAATACTCTTGTTAACTGCCCTTGGGCAACTAACTTAACCATGTGCTTCCAAGATACTAAATCAGGAAAACTTAAAGGGCAATATGTTTAACTTTGGGCTGGGGAAGGGAGCAGCAGAGAATTGACTAGATTTAGCACCTATTAAAGGAGAAATTCTTAACTTCTTCCTAGATCTTTCAAGCCATGCTTTGTGTGTGTGCCAGTGGACTTGCTCAGGGACAGGGTTTAGGCTTGCCCTGGATGTCTGCCCAGGCTGAATGTTCTTCACTAGGATTGGGTTTTGAGTGCACAGTATAGCCCTGAGGACTGAACATTCTTCCATTCCCCGCTACCTGTTGGGTTGGCTCTTTGTTGAATTGTTAAAATCGCTACTTACTTGCTTCCTTTTAGGTTGCTGTTGTACCTGGATCCAGGACTAGTGATGTTTTCAGATTTGTAGGCTTAAAAAAAAAGGAAAACAATTTTATTACCAAGCTCTCCTTCTCACCCCTTTTTTCCGGTTTTGCCAAGTCATTTGCTGGCGTGAAGCTTTTGACTAAACCAGTTGAAGACACACTTACAGTCTGGATGATGCTTTGGGTGGTACATTAAGTTCATATTTTAAATTAAAGGAAGTTTTTCATTTGACATTTTTCCAAATTAAATAAATTATAGAATTTAATGAGGGTGGATTTTTGGGTGGACGTGCAGTAATGGAAAGCTGCGGTAATTAGTTTTAATACAGCCTGAATATTTGCTATACAGAAATATAGCAAGTTTTCAGTCTAAGTGTACCTACTGTACTGGCCACAGTTTCTCCCAATAATTGTGATTGGGACATTTTTCCATTGGTAGCTGCCATTTTGCTGGTAGTTCCCCTTGTGACTAGAATGTCAGTAAAAAGTAAATGTGCCAAATTAACTTTCGTCAGAATGCATGAGCAGGGATGGCAAAGTTCTCTTCTCACCAGAATGGACTAACAGCAGCAGGGAAGGTGGGGGAGGGAGTGGATGGAGAATTTTAGAGACTTTGAAACCGCCGTAAAATTAAATGAGTCAGGGAGCATCAGTAGCATCAGTTAGAAAATAAAATCAGGACAGTTTTTGTGAAGAGAGTTAATATTTGTTAGGGCCAGAGAGTACTAGTCTTTTAGGAAAAGCTCATTAAATTTGCATGGTTTTAAAATTTCAGATAATCCCAAAGATACACCAGTTTACAGATGATTAAAGTATCAGTCTTCCTCCCACCCTTCCTGCCCAAAGTGAATTTAATGCCCAGAAAAGGCCTGTTTATTTACACCAGATACTTTTTCTTCCATCTATACCAACTGTAGGGAGTCCTGGTGGCACAGTGGTTAAGCGCTCAGCTGCTAACCAAAAGGTTGGCAGTTCGAACCCACCAGCCGCTCCGTGGGAGAAAGATGTGGCAGTCTGCTTCCATAAAGGTTACAGCCTTGGAAATCCTATGGGGCAGTTCTACTCTGTCCTGTAGGGTCATTGTGAGTTGAAATTAACTTGCCAGCAACAGGTTTTCTTAGACTGTGGGTAGATACATGTGCTGGTATGTAGTAGTTCTTTTATTAGTTTTAAGGTGTAGAAAATAACTGTGATGGGAAAGTTACTGTTCTTCAGCCATGTAAGATAAAGGTTCTTTGCTTATAACACTACACGGGGTTTCTGAGGATTTGTCAGTTTCTAGAGCACCTTCAGTTGTATTATGTCATTTGAACCTCACAACATTCTTGTGAGATAAAAAGACAGGGATTATAAGCCCATTTTTTGGGAGATGGACCTGTGTGTATTATGAGCAGTGCCAATTGGTTATCTTCAGAATGCTTGAAAATCTTCATGCATGCAAGTGCTGAATACTTGGAGCAGGACCTCTTACAGATGACTTGCTGTTCTTTAGTTCAGGGATTGGATATGGCATTTTCTTTCAGAACCGTATCTACTGCCTTTTTAAACTCTTGCTGCCTTGGTAAACAGAAGATTTTATTCCCTTGTTTTTCATGGCTAAAAACAAATAAAAGTAATGGTAATTTTGAATATGCTTTTAGAAACTGCCCCTCAAGTCATTGAGGGTCACTCAAAAGCACAGGAATGGACTTTTCATTGATGGGTGACCGTCTCCGTTCCCCTTGTTGCCCATCTCTGGCTGCCTAGCTCATTATGTTTGAGGACTGCTAATAAGCCCAGCTCATTCCCTTTATTGGCTAGTTAGCTTTCTGCATTAGCCTGCTTGCCCTCAGCCAGAGAGTAAAACCAACAGCCTAAATTCGTTATACCTTCTTAAGGAAAAAGAAATTTCTAATTTGCCCTACTGGTGTTAGGTTAGGTGCATTAACCTTGAAGGTAAAACAGAGCATATCATTGTATAAACTCCTAGGCTTGGTGGTAGCACAAGATATTATTTCTGGAGGTTTTGACAATGGAATTTAGCCTCATGGAGACAGTTGGGCATATCAGACAGTCTAAAAAGTTTGAGCTCTTAAATCTAGGTGGAGAACGCACCCATCCTTCCTGCTCTGTGAACAAGTGTCTTGGACCTGAGGGACTTTTGGTTTCTAATGAGACTAGGTCACTGGAAGTGTCCTGTCTCCCCCTCCAGAAACGAGCGGTGGATAAACTGAGGTTGTTAATTGAATGGGGGACACTATTTAGAAGGATAAAAGCATTGTGGCAGCTCTAGAGTAGGCTCAGGAGATTCAATAGATTACCTATAACTGAAACTTAGAATTGGCCACCTGCTTCTAAATAGGCTTCCCATTGGGTATCTCTCTTACTCTTAGGTTTGCCTCTGGGCCTGCACTGGCCTTTCATCCCTAACAGGTTAGTAACGTGCTGGCCACCTCTAGCTCCTGTGCTGGGTCTATGAACTGTAGTGGCTCTCCCATGGCCTTCATCACCATATCAGGCTGCAGAGAGGAGCACAGCTATCCTAGGTGACAGGGCTGGCCTAGCTTCAGTCGTTTATTTATTTTCCGGGCATACCATCCAGGTCAAGAGAGTCTCTCTTTCCTTTAGGAGAGCTCTAGAGAGCCCTGCCACATAAGCAGTGGCCCAGAGCTCATCCTGCTCATTGTCGGCACAGTCCCTTACCCCATATAGAGCCAGGATGCTTGGAACTGCTCAGACAGGAGGAGACTCAGCTTTTCATCTCTGCCACCGTCTTTCCTCAAGCAGGAAAACAAACATGGACTTAAATGTCCTTTGAACAAAACCAAAGTTTAAGGTTTGTCACATGACAGAGTAACAGGGAGGGCCAGAGTCGGCAAGTACCAGACTTTGTGCTCCGTCTGCCACCCGTTGCCCAGCTCAGGTGGCCCGGGGATCACCAACCTGTCTAGCAGAGCCCGGGCCCTGCCCTCACAGAGGAGAACTGAAATAGCAGGAGCATGTTGATTTCTTGGTTATATTGCATTATAACAATGGAAATCAGAACATTTGTTTGAAATTGTCTTCAACAATTTGCTGTATGCATTTTCTTTCACACCAGTACATTCTTAAGCATCCTTGTTTATATAGAATAACGTGAATTAATCTGTACCTTTATATTTATATGTGTGTGTACATATATACATGTATAAACTGTATAGTGTACAAGTTAATGATTTATTGATAAGCTCCAAATCAGTGCCGTTGCCATCCTCCGCATGCCTTCAGTTTGTGGTTGGGTGACTTAAATTTTCCCTGATGAGTCTGCCCACCTCCTGTGTTTGGACGTCTAGGGAGAAGGGTTTTGGTCGCACTCTCCTCCTTGTGCACAGAAATGCTCAGGGTCCCCATGTGCCTGTTGTTCAGCCTCCTCTTGTCTCTTGTTCCCTTTCTGAGCATGTGGTCCCTCCCTGTTCAGTAACTTCCCTGCCTCCCACCCCCCAAGCTGTGGGGACAGCCACGTTCCTACTAAAGTGTAAAGCAGTATTAAGATCATTACTGCATGTGCTCTAAAAATCCAACTTTTCTGTTCCCTTGGGACAGAAAATTGCATGTGAGGTGGGATGATCAAGTCTCAATGACCCATGTCATTTCCACAACAAAGCCAGACCCCGTAATAAAATTCCATAAAAGGAAAATAAAACTCAAATTTCTTTAGCATTGTGTAAATAAATCTGGATGTGTTTAACTTTGTACTGGTAATTTTCTGTATATTTGCAATATTTGGGATAGAAATAAAGCAGACTGGACTTTGTTACCTGACCTACTGAGATGACTAAGCTACGGTTTGTTAATATGATAGTTTTTTTTCCAGCTTTCTAGCTTCAAAAATCAAACTCCAGTAACGAGAGTATGCCAGTTGAAGAGCCAGGGCTGTGTCTTTCTAGCACAATAATGGAAGGTACTGGATGTTTTATGGGGAAAAGTCTCACTTTTTTTTTCTTGTGCTTTATGCTTAAAGATCTACCTTCCACGGGTATTTGTGAGACCAGCTTTATTGTTCCTACCCCCAGAAAGTCTAGTGTACCAACCCACACACTTTCTCAGGTTTCAATTGCTATACTCTTCCTTCTGGACACAGCAACATGTGATTACTCTCTTGCATTGTGTGTTCCTTGTAGCAGGCTTGACCAACGACACACTGAGAAATTTACCTTTGGTATCTTTGCATCTGCCCCTCTTACATTTCTCTTGCTGCACTTACTCATGGTACATCCTGATACATTTCATTTAAGGACCTTCAAACAGTGCAGCTTTCCTCTCTACCAAAATGTTTCTCTTAGTAGAGATTCCTGCCTCCTCCCTTGAGCCTTTAACCTGGGATATTTCCATTTAATCTTACTCTGGCATCATGGTCTGAAGGTGACAAAGCAAAGCCCTTGTTCTTGAAGAATCCACCATCTGGTGGAAGAATTCCTACCCCAGGAAATTATCTACGGTCATTTTATTCTATCTAAAGTAATATTCTCTGATTTTCTGCATCAGAATCATGAGGTTGCTTTTAAAAATGCAGATTCCTGGATCCCACCCCAAACCTAGTGAATTAGACTCTCTGATGTGGAGACCCTAGGAATCTTCATTTTAAATCCCATTCCTTTACACCTTCATTGCAACAAAGGGTTAGGTCCGAAAAGCCACTTCCTAACCAAAGCCTAGGTTAAGAGTGGTGTAAAAAGGGGGTGTGTTTCAGGTGACAGTCCCTGGTTGGGGACTGTCAGTATTTAGAGGGTCCCTGGCTGGGTCAGCAAGAGACACAGATCAGAGAGGCCTTCAAACTAGTCCTAATGTGGCACAAGCCCAGCCTTTTACCAGCCAGCCCCACAGGTCAGGCTCTACAGTCTCCCTCTTCGGCCATGCTAGACCCTGATAAGGAGTCCCTGGTGGCGCAAATGGTTAATGCACTCAATTGCTAACTGAAAGTTTGGAGGTTCGAGTTCACCCAGAAAGCCCTGGCAATTTGCTTCTGAAAAATCAGCTGTTGAAAACCCTATGGAGCACAATTCTACTCTGACACATATGGGGGTGCCAGGAGTCAAGTAGACTTGATGGCAAAGTCCCCAAGAAACAAGTTCCTGGGCTTGAAGTATATCCATGCATTATCCTGGCCCTCAGCCCTTTATACAAGTTGTAAAGAGGAGTTTTTGGCTTCTGCTTAACAGCCAAGATAATAACAGGCTCCTGGGACCCTGTTAGGAGCCCTGATGATGCAGTGGTTAAGTGCTCGGCTGCTAACCAAAAGGTAGGCGGTTTGAATCCACCAGCCACTCTGCAGGTCTCCTTCCACAAAGATTTCAGCCTTGGAAACCCTGTGGGGGCAATTGTACTCTGCCCTATAGGGTCACTATGAGTCGGAATCTGGTTTTTTGGGGGGATTCTGTTGACTCTGCCCTCAAGTTGGGGGCTAAGGAGGGAATGGGGCCCCTTCATTCAACGATGCTCAGTTTTTTTTTCCCATGAAGAAAATACAGAAGGGATGCTGGCTTCTGGAGGTAGGAAAGCAGAAGCATGATAGAAAACCAGATTTGGATGGAATGTGTGGCACATGTGGAGTGATGGTTTGGTAAACCTGGAAATCACATAGGACCTTCAGTTTGCAAGAAACCCCTACTGTGGGCTGGCCACTGCCCTATGTTTAAATCATTTTATCCTTAACAAAATTATGGTGTCATCACGCCTGGTTTCATCGTCCAGAGGCCTGAGGTTCAGCACATAAGTGATTTCTCCAGGGTCACCTAGCTCCTGAGTGAGCAGTACAGCCAGAAGTCACACCCATGTCCTGGACCTTATGCCCCTGGCTCTCCCTACCCCACCACTGCTGCATCTCACTTGATCTGTACTGTATCTCGTAGGCAAGGAAGACATGGACAGCTTTCAAAGGGGGAATGCTAGCCTGGCCTAAAAGTAGCTTACATTTATCAAGCATTTAGTCCACCACACTGCTAAGCACTTTACAAAGATTACCTCTTCTGATCCTCACAACAACCCGTGGTTGCTATTATCTCCGTTTTACAGATGAGGAAACAGGCTTAACAGAGACTGACGTGTTGCAAGTCACACAGCTAGTTGGTGATGGAGCCAAAGTTGGAGCCCGGGTAGTCTGGCCCCAGAGTGCAGATCCACCACTGCACTGTGCTGCACCGCACAGGTGGAGAGAATGGGGGCAGTCCTGTAACGCTGAGTTGTTAGGATATTGCAACTCAGTGGAGAAAGAGCACTGGAGAGGTACTTATGAATCAGCTAGTTTCTGGGGCCCTTCTTTGGGCCCAAGCACCCTGTTGGGTGAGCTAGAGAGAGGAACTGAGATGTTACCCAATCCTCCCAACGGAAGCCAGAGTCCCTGTTTGTATGGTCTGTGCCCAAGCTCATGCCTCCCTCCCTAGCGCTGTGTGAGGGGTGTTATCTCTCTCCCAAGATAACAGGGCCACCTCAGCCCTCCCCCTGTGGCTATTCTGGGCTATTCTCTGATCCCCGTCTCTACCCCTAGCCCCTGTTCCAGCCCTTTGCTGGGGGTAGCTGGGTGGGGAAAGGCCCAGCTGGGTTGGTCAAAGGTCCCAGTTGCATAACCCTGCAGCTGGGACCCCACAGGCCAGGCTGGAAAGCAGGTGTTCAGGCCCTCCCTCACCACCAGCAGTGACAATCTGCAGCTGGAGCCCAGCCGTGGGCAAGCCCAGCAAGGAAGCAGCCACTGCTCAGGAGGTGGCCCCAGGATCCGAGCTGATGCTGAAAGGAGCCAGCCCAGCTGATGCTGAACGACCCCAGGCTCCACCTTGACGGGGTTGGCAGCCTCATTCCTCAGCTCCTGTCCCCTATAGAAGGTGACCCATGGCAGTTGGTGGGGCTGGGGGGACTCGGTGGGGGTGGGATGGGGAGGGTGTCCCTACCACCCTGACTGCAGCTCATTAGATGTTTGCACAGCTAAATGACTTTATAGGATTGGTTCTTAGGATGGGAGATCATTCACTGGAGCCCCCTAACCCCTTTGTTGATGGATTCTTACTTGCTGCTGAGGTATCTTTGCTGGGTTTTAGCTTTTTAGCTGTGAGGTGAGTGAATGATGTTTGTTGCACTTTACAGTGACTAAAAATGATCTGTTTATATTTTTACCTTTAAAAATGTCTGTCACAGGGACTGAGAGGGTCTAATTTATTAATGCCGGTCAGAAAGGGAATGGGGGTGAGATGGTGGCTGTCTGGATGAGGAAAAGGGGAAAGTAAAAGCTTAAAACTCCTAGGAGGCCAAGTGTCATACACCTCAGTGACATCTTGCCTCTCCCTTGGCAGTGCCATAGGGCCAGGACCTACCCCAGCACCCCAGCATCTCCCATGGGACATCCCAGCCTCTCAGGATCTGAGCTCCATGGGAGGGGAACCCCTCTGGGAGAAGCATTTGGCTTTCCGTCCTTGGTGGTTTCCGTGAGCCGCTTAGGAAAAAGGCCTTCTCCAGCTAAGAGGGGGTGGTTATCCTTCCAACCCCAGGCACCCCTGCCAGCAGCACTACCACCCACTCCCCAGCTGCCCCTGCCTGAGGCCTCTGTAGCTAACAGCTCTGAGACACTCACCTGGGAGGCCCCAGGAAGCCAAGCACAGGTATGTCTCCCACTGCACTTGGCTCAGCACACCAGAGATGGGACACAGAAGCCAGGTGCCCCTTTCATGGAGAAAGATGAATGAGAAAATGGGCTTCTCCCTTCTCCTATGTGATAATCGGCAGAAGCAGCCAGAGGGCTGTATTAAATGCCTAAGACAGTTACCTGCACAAAGTCCCTACTTTCAGTACCTTCAAGGTACCGAAAGTCTTCAGGGCAGAAGATCCAAAGACCACAAATGAGAAACCCATGGAATCCCAGGGCAGGGAGACGTGGTGGAGAAAAGATGTACTGGCCTTGGAGGCACAGATCTCGGCTCACTTCCCAGTGCTGCCTCTAGCAGCTATGTGACCTTGGACAAGTCAGTCAACTGCTCAGCTTCAGTTTCCTCTGCAAAATAATGATGACTAATATCTACCTAGCTGAGTCATTGTAAAGATGGTTGAGATTATCCAAAGTGCCTTGGAAGAGGCCAAACCAAGATGTGAATAGATAATGAAATATTTCCAAGTGAGAGGTGAAGACTAAGAGTTATACCTGCAAATAGGGTTGGGCAGGGGCAGCTCCCCACCTCTTATCATCCTAATGGAAGAGATGGGGCTTTCAGAAGCTGTTTGAATGTCAAGGTCAGAATGCTGGCTGAGTTTGCCCCAGTGAAGGAGTAGAAGGAGAGAAGCTTTTGTGAACGTATCAAGCTGGGGTGGCTAAGGCAGAAAACCAGCATCTTCCCCACAAACACGAAGGAAATTAATCACAGGCAGAGGGAGAATGAGAACCCAGGACTGCTGACTCCCCAACTTTCTCCACTGGCCCCCATAAAACTCTGGGGGAGGACCGCATCTCTCCATCTTCAGAGTAGGAATCTGTGGGCAGTCAGCTCCTAACAGCCCCAGCTACCGTACCACAAGTGCAGCCTGAAGACCCTGTCCCTGTGTGTGGCAGCTCCATGCACTGCAGGCCTCAGGGCCACCAGCATCAGAGGTCACTGGTAATCAGGACACCGTTTGACGCTTTGCAAAGTACGTTTGCATCTGTTATCTGCTTGGAAAAAGAAGTCATGACTTCAAATCTTAGCTCTGTCCTATGACCCTAGAGAAGTCAATCCACCTCACTGGGCCTCCATTTTTCTCATCTGTAGATTAAGGAGTTGAACTAAATCAGTGGCTCTTACCTTTTGATACACGTGGACCCCTAGGAAAATCTGATGAAAGCTGAGGACTCTTGCCTCAGAAAAAAGGCACAAAAAAGTTCAGGGAGTTCTCAAAGGCCCTAAAGTCCACCCAAATATCCTTTGGGGTGCCATGACCTCCCTGAAATGGAACAGGGAGGCCCATCTGCTGATTTCAGCATAATTGCCCTGACTGAGCGCCCTCTTTCAATCTGAACTGTTCTGTGTCTTCCAAACATGGGAAGCAAAATCCCATGTCTGGGAGCAGCCTCCTTCCCTTCTTCCCTCTTCCCTCCCTCCATTCCTTCCTTCCTTCTCCCTTCTACAAATATTTATCTTGTGCCTATTATGTCCTAGGCACTGTTTTAGGTGCCAGGAATACAGAAATGAACAAAATAGGCAAAAATAACGGGCCTCATGGAGGTTACATTCTAGTGGAGGGAGATAGACAATAAATAATAAGTAAAATGTATAAAATAGATATAAATGCTATGCAGAAAAATAAAGCAAGGAAGGAGGATAGAAAGTTTTGGAGGTAGGCAGTGTGATTGTTAATAGGATATTCAGTGAAGGCCTCACTGTTGTTGTGTGCTGTCGATTCCAACACATAGCAACCCTGTATGAAACAGTAGAACTGTCCCATAGGGTTTCCTAGGCTGTAATCTTTACGCTATGTCAAAATTAACTCAACAGCAACGGGTTTGGTTTGGTTTTTGGAATCTTTAGGGGAGTAGATCGCCAGGTCTTTCTCCCACAGAGCCCACCTTTTAGTTAGCAGCCGAGCGCTTAACCATTGCCCCTAACAAGGAAATTTGAGCAACAGCTTAACAGAAGTGAGAACACATGTCTGCAAATATTTGGGAGGAATGTTTTCCAAACAGAGGGCACAGGGAATGCAAAGGTCCTAAAGCAGGAGCATGCCTTGTGGGTGGGCACTGCTGTGGCTGTAGCTGAGTGAGGAGAGGTGGGGTCAGAGAGGTAACAGGACCATTGGGAAAACTTTGGTCTGACCCTGAGACAGGTGGGCAGCCAGTGCAGGGCTCTGAGTAAGGGCTGAGAGGATAGGGCGTAGGTTTAAAGAAATTTTCTGGTTGCTGTTTTAAGAATAGACTCTAGGCAGGGCTTAGACACTAGCAAGGTCATCAACTAAGAATGAATGAGGGAGGCGGTATGGAGGCTTGAGGAGAAGGTACTCAGTAGTCATGCAGGAGAGTAGAAGATTAAATCAACGAGGGAAGCCTAGTATAATTGCCAGGTCCGTTTGGAGTTAGTGGTCCTGTTAGTGGCCATCAATTTACAGTCAGCATGTTGTTGTTAGCTGTTGTTGAGTAGGATCTGACCTTATGTATAACAGAATGAAACAGCGTCTTGTCCTGCACCATCCTCACAATCATTGGTATGTTTGAGCCCGTTGTTACAGTATTGTTTTATGGTTTTCCCCAGTCACGTTTGGCTGTGTGGCTGCAGGCACTGAACAGTGGAAGAGTATTTGTCTGGTGTTGGGTTTTGTTAGGAGGGTGCAATGAAGTGAAAGAGGATTGAGGGATTGGCATGGGTGTGCAAGGGAGTGATTATAATGGTGAACCATGGAATCTAAGTTGGGTGAGGAAGAAAGCGATGACATTAGAGGGTGAGAGATGGTGAAAAGGTGGTGGGGCAATGAGTGATAGGTCTCGGGTGCTGAAGAATTGTTGATGTTGGAACATTAGAAGGCGTAAGCTGAAGGAATAGGAGATTGTATTAGTTAGGGTATGCTAGCTGATGAACCAAATAGGCCTCAGAATATAAGGCTCAAACACAATAGATGCTTGTTTCTTACTAGCAAAACAACTCAAAGCAAGTATTGCTGCAAAGCAAATAGCTCTCCTCCATGTAGTAATTCAGGGACCCAGGCCTCTTCCACCTGGTGACTCCATTATTCCTTAGGGTTCCATGATCATTGGCATCCAGCTAGCAGAAGGGGAAACAGAGAATTCACTTCTTAAAAGCCTTGGCCCAGAAGTGGTTCTCATCATTTCCACTCACATTTCATAGAGCAACGGGGGCTGAGAAGTATCCCTGTCTGGGCAGCCACTTCTCAGGGATAAATATACTTGAAAGGGAGAGCATAAATTTTGGTGGGCGGTTAGCTCATCTTTGTCATTGGGGCCCTAGTGGTGCAGTGGTTAAGCGTTTGGCTACTAACCAAAAGGTTGGCAGTTTGTATCTATCAGCCACTCCTGTGAAACCCCATGGGGCAGTTCTGCTCTGTCTTGTAAGGTCTCCATGAGTTGCAGTTGACTCGACAGCAATGGGTTTGGTTGTTTTTTTGATCGTAGGTAATAAGAGTGGGATGCTTGAAATTCAGATTATAGAGGGGTTGCAGTTATTGGTCTAGAGAATGTCCACAGGAACTAGCGGCTAAGGTAGAGGTGGACAAAATATTGGAGGAGTGGCAGGCAAGGAGCTGAGAGGCCCTGCAGGAATTGGAAGGATGGATATTGAAATCACCAAGAATTATGACTGAGGTAGTGTTGGAGAGAGTGACAGTGAGTCAGGACCATCAAGCAGGAGGAGAAGAAGGGAATAAGGGGAGGGGATGGTGGAGTCTTTTCCTCAGGGAAGTGTTGCCTACTCTTGTCCCCTCCCCACCTTTTTTTGACCTTAGTTTCATAGTCTTCAAGGAGGTGATACTGTTGTCCTTCACAAGGTACTCCCAAGGTCATCATACTCCTTTCCCATCACCCTTCTCCATACAGGTTTCCTAGACATCTGCTAGTGTTTCTGTAAGAAATGCTGGTACTCCTTGGATCCCTGTGAAATCTATGATTACGTTTTGAAGGATAGCTGGGCTGTGCACTCACCTTCTTGGTAACTGCTCACACAGGACCATGCGTGTACACACACATGCACACCCACACACGTACGCACAGACACGCATGCATCCATACCCATACACACGCACACATGTGCACGCACACAGCCACACGTGTGCATATGCACGTGTGTGCATGTACAGACACGTATGTATGCACACGTGCACAACGTACATGCACACACGCACACACCTCCACTCCGCCAATGCATCTACCTTGTTTCTTCACTCTCCAGGTCATAATTGATAACATCAGTCTGAACCGTGCAGCCCTTAGGAAATTGCTGGAGGAAGGTCTCTAACCATGTAAAAGGAAGTTATAAGAGAGGATATGAACAATGATTTCCCATGAGAATAGAATAAGGAAACGGGCATAAACTTTAGCAGAATGAAATTAGGGTAGATTTTAGGAAGAACTTTCTAATCAGGAGGAGTCGGGATCTTTGGGCTTTAAGTAGTCTCCTCTAATAATTTTAAAGAAATAATTAGCACTCTGTCTGAGAGAAATACAGCACAGAAAGCAACACAGCTGAGAAGCAAATGACTCTCAAAGGACTTTTCAAAAGGCCTTTTCCCCAAGATTCTATGAAGGGAGAAAACCAAAGTGTGGCTGTCACAGACCTGGTCTTCAAAAACCTAGGCTCTGCTTTCGGGCTCTGAGTATTTGTTCACATCCCTCCTGGCACCCGACAAGGAGAAAGACCTTGGGCTTTAGGGAAAGCCATGCTTCCCCAAGGTCAGTACAAGTGACACCTCCCTCGACTGTGGATGTGTGAAAGGAGATGCCCCAAATGAGCTCTGCTATTAACGATCTTAGCAAAGAGTCAGATTGCTCTTTGCTGGTCCTGGGCTGGGTAAGAAACGATTGCAGGACTTGATGCTGAGCAGGCATCTGGAGCTGTCAAACACTTCTGTGAAGCCTCCAGCACTCTGTCAGCTGCATTAGCCTCAAGCCCATCCTCTACGCTCCCACTGGAGGCCTGGAAACCTGCTGAGAGTAGAGGCCTCTCACTAATCCTCAGAGAGATGGAACATTCTAGTTTTTCTCCTATCAATTTATCATCTTGTAAGAGAATTCCCTTAGGTCCCTTGGTGGCACAAATGGTTTGCTCTCAGCTACTAATCAAAAGGTTGGTTCAAAACCACCCAGTGGTGCTGTGGAAGAAAGGCCTGGCAATCTGCTTCTGTAAAGATGACAGCCAAGAAAACCCTATGGAGCAGTTCTACTCTGTAACATAAGGGATCGTCATGAGTCAGAATCTACTCAATGGCAATGTTTTTTTTTTTTTTTTTTTCTTTTTTAAGGGAATCCCACTTACAAGCAGATAACTGGTAAGGGAGCCCAGGAAGGAAGAGACCACCATCTTAGCTGTCAGCCTTTCTCCTCTGTCTCTCTGCCCCAGCTGGGGTCTCCTCTAGATCTCAAGAATCATTCCTCCTCCTAACTCTCCCACCTCGGCTTATGTTCCACATAACCGCTTTCTTTAATTTTTCTTTTTAGTTCTAGTGAAAGAATGTTAATGTTTTCCAAGGTATTTTTCTAAGAAACTAAAGAAAAACTAGGTGGAAACAGACATGTATATCAACATGCGTGTATCTATGTTCAGTTTCCTACCTGAGGCACAAGCAGAGTAGGGCCCAGTTGGCCCATCTTTGAGGTGTGAAGGCCTAGGTTCCTTTCCTAGTCTCAGCCCTTCTCAGTCTTTGAGTGTATGGCTCTGCCTTCCCATCTTTGCCCTTCCCTCCAGAAGCAGAGTCCTGATTATGGAGCCCAGTCCTAGGCAGATAGGTAGGTGGATAGATGCTCCATGCTTAGGTAGAGAATGGGTCCTTTGCTAGGGGAAAGCAAGAGTCTTGGGAGCTAGGCACAACTTCACAATTAGCCTTGAGATCTTGGATAAATCAATTTCCATCTCTGAGCCCTTTTTCTCCCAACATTCTCATTGCTCTGGGTACTCACCAAGGTCCTTCCTAACTGATATTCTGTAGGCAGAATGAGGGGCGGCAGACCCGCCTTCTCTCCAGCCCCCTCCTCAGCAAGTGCGAAAGGTTATTTCCCCAACCACCAAGGAGGAGAACCCAGTCCAACAAGTTGAGGTTTTGACCCTCATTCCCAATTACCACAGTTTTTAAAAAAAAACCCATAAGTAATATGAGCTTGTTCTCAACTCTTTGGTTATTTGCCAAGATGGCCACAGGAGAGAAACACATCACACAAACACTTCTTCTGTTCTTCATGCCCTGGCCTCCCCCTGCAAAACTACCCAAGGCAAAGAGAGGGCAACCCTGAGCAGGGTCAGTCGGCTGCCTGGGGCTCCTTGGCTGTGATGTTCTCATTGAGGCATGTGGCCCTCAGCAGCATAAGGAGGAGGGTGCTGCAGAATACTCCAGGCCCTTTATCACTTCGTTCTGCTTGCATCGGGCAGGGATGAGGTGCAGTCTGAGACAGGCACAGCCCAGGTGAAAGCATAAGCCACACAGCAAAAATGAAAACTAGATAAATATGCACTAAGTGTACAACATGCACTGCGTATTTGTATTTGCTTACAAAGGATAAGTGTTCTTGAGATTGTGATGGGGGGGTGACTGTGGGGTGAAATGCCTGGTCTCTAGACAATGGTCTACGAATAGAGGTGTAGAAAGAACATAGTAGAACTTCCATGTGTTTTATTTTAACTTCACAATTTAAATTTTTTAGTTATATAATGTACATATTTACACAGCTCAATATATAAGTAAGCACACATATATTGGGGTGAATGTTCAGGAATATATCCATGGGTAAATGTATGTGCAATGACTTCTGACACCAATTACCTGGAGTTGGGCCAAACTTCACACAGGTTAAGGGCACTGTCCTCCCAAGACTGCCCTCACGGCAGACACCAGCCACAAGCTTGAAAGTCACCAGGCTACTCTCACTTCTGACAAGCTCGCTACAAATTTAGGGGTTGCTGGTGGCACAGTGGAGCCCTGGTGGTGCAGTGATTATGAGCTCTGCTGCTAACCAAAAGCTAGGCAGTTCGAATCCGCCAGCCGCTCCTTGGAAACCGTATGGGGCAGTTCTACTCTGTCCTGTAGGGTTGCTATGAGTCAGAATCAACTTGATGGCAATGGATCTGGGTTTTTGAGTTTTTTTTTTGGTGGCACAGTGGTTAAGCGCTCAGCCGCCAACCAAAAGGTTGGCAGTTAGAACCCACCAGCTGATCCGTGGGAGAAAGATGTGGCAGTCTGCTTCTGTAAAGATTTACAGCCTTGGAAACCCTATGGGCAGTTCTACTCTGTCCTATAGGGGCGCTATGAGTTGGAATCTACTAGCCAACAGGTTTTCTGTTTGTTTGTTTCATGTTTGAAAATTCACTAGACTGACTCAAAGAACTCAGGAAAACATCATAATTACGATTACAGTTTTATTATAGCAAAAGGATACAAATCAGAACCCGTCAAAGAGATAGACACAGGGTCTGGGAGGGTCCCAAAAACAAAGCTTCCATTGTCCTCAGGGACACAGGACCCTTCTGCAACATCAGTGTGTGACAGTACACGGAATATTGTCAAGCAGGGAAGCTCACTCAAGCCTTGGTGTCCAGAGTTTTTAATTGAGGTTTTATTATGTAGGCATGATTGATTGAATCATTGACCACATGACCGAACTCAATCTCCAGCCCTTTTTCCTACCTGGGGATTGATAGCACATGATACCACATGGCTCAAAGCACTAACCCTCTAATCACATGGTTAGTCTTTCTGGCATGGCCTGCCCCCATCCTAAATCATCTCATTAGCATAAACCTGGGAAATTCCCAGGGCTTATAGGCTACCTCCCAGGAACTGGGAACAAAGGCCAGAATAAATTCTTCATTACACAGCATGTTATCAAACTGTGGAAAGTATGTAATCAAAAAAATGTGGAACCCACTACCAAGCAGTTGTGCTGTTTGCCATAGGAGTGTGCTGCGTGGACAGTTTTGCCTGGTATGAGTCGTGGGTGGAGGGGATTTGGCAGGAACTGAGACAAGGTCACATTCTACTTAAGACAACAGCAGCAGGGGATTGTCTCTTTGAGACGGGAAGAGATAGGATCTCCAAGAAAGCCAGAAAACTTTAGCCAGGCCCGCAGGGGAACCTAGATGGAATATTTGCAATCTCCGGGTCAAGGCAGCCTGAGGCATCCTGAGAGGAGAGAAATTACACTTGGTCATTCTCCAAACTCGAGCCCTGGTGTCATAGTGGTTAAGAGCTTCGCTGCTAACCGAAAGATCGGCAGTTTGAATCCACCAGCCACTCCTTGGAAACCCTACAGGGCAGTTCTACTCTGTCCTACAGGGTCACTATGAGTCGGAATCGACTTGATTGCAGTGGGTTTTTTTTTTTTTTAATTCTCCAAACTCTACACTCAGCACTTTCACAAGCTTCTCCTATCTTCATCCTGGAAGCCAGTAAACTTAATCTAATGTTGCTTTTTGCTGATAGGCAAGGGAAATGAGCAGTGGACCTAATCTTTCTCAGATTTTGTTTGTAGAAAGTGATTCTCCACAAACTGGAAGAACACTACACAGGCTCCTTGGAGCAGGACAGAGGAAGGGACCCAGACGCTCGTCTCCCTCTGCAATGACATCAGAGCTGTCAAAGGTGTTGACTCTGCCTGCAGAATGGAAAGCATTCTACTGGAGTCTGGCACCAGGCTGGAGGGCGGGACCAACACTGGGGAGGTCAGGATTAACATTGAAAGGAGCCTTGATAAAAGAAGTGTTATGAAAGACAAATGTAGAAAAGGAGGGGAACGACAAACCATACTGACTGGACTGGTCTGTGCACCAACAGGAAAAAAATGATCTCCGTTGATAAAAAGTCACTAGTTGAGAGTTATAAATTAAAAGAAATTAACATCAGGCTTGCACTCCAGTGCAATCTTTCTGCCATGATTTTGACACTCTCCAGGGGATCTGTCAGTCAATCCCTCATCCCCAAATGGGGACAAACTTCTCATTCTCTAAGGAGAGGGACTAATTTGCTGAGAAATGCTTGGGTAACCCCCCGCCCCCCACATACACACATAGAGGCACAGCTGGATTCAGTATCTACGGTGGAGCTCTTCTCTTCCCACCCCGGAGGCTCACCATCTCCTGTTCTTTCTTTTTTCTCTTATCACTCAGAGTTTCCCAAGATCTGGCTACCTCGGCCCCTGAGGCATACCTACATCTGCAAGGTTGGGGACACAGTAAACTACTAATCCCATTCCAGGTGATCACTCTGGGTCCATGGTGTGACCAGGCTGGGACTTTTGATTTGGAAACAGATATCAGGAGTCCTGCTAGCAGTGGGGCAGTTTTTGTGGCCTTGAATGGAAGGAGCCTTATCAGCAGAAGTCTGAGGCCAAGTGACTCTTCCACTCTGCACTTCTGAGGGGGGGTTTGGGTTGGATCAGGTTTGCCCCATTTGATGAGGTAGGGGCTTATCCATGCTCTTTAGCCAGCAGAGATCTGGGGACTCTCAGTTTGGAGGGCTCTTGGGAAGTTGGGGGGTATTCAGTTGGTCCCAGTTGTCCTGCGTGTGCATGACCTAGACTCCCAGAGGGCGATGGACTCAAAACCGTCCCCCTTTCCCATGACCCTTATTCTGTAGCTAAAAGTAGGAAGTTCCCTGAGAGAATCCACCAACCTCTAACTCAAGGAAGTTGCAGCTACAAGTCAAGTCACCATGCGGACCTGGGGTGGATCTGACCGCTACCATAGTAGGGAGGGTCAGTAGGGCCTCTTGGGCTGCTCATGGCCTTATCCCCACTTCACAGGGCAAGCCCAAACCTTGAGTCATCTGGACACATGATGGCTGTACCTTGGATGCCTGTCGTGCGAGTGTGCGAAAAGGGGAGAGGGACTCCGTCCTCTTCATCCAAGAAGCCCAACGTGCTGACTCAGGCCGCTACCAGCTGAGTGTGCAGCTAGGCGGGCTGGAGGCCACCGCCACCATTGACATCCAGGTGATCGGTATGGTACAGGGAGTGGGAGAGAAGGTGGTCCTCAAGGGCTTCCTCTTCAGGCTCTCTTCAGAGAGCTGGGGAAGCTGGGGTAATGCCCCTACATTGAGTCTTGGACACAGTGGTGGGTGAGGGGATAGGAAGCTACAGGAAATAGACTGGCTTGAGCAGAGAAGGGGGCATGGAGCACTCCAGAAGTGATTTCAATGCATATGGGTTGTACCATGCCCACTGCCATGGCTTTACCCTTTCAGAGAGGCCAGGCTCTCCTCAGAGTATAAAGTTGATAGAGATTTGGAGCTTCAGTGCTACCCTGGAGTGGACACATCCCCAAGACATGGGCAATACAGCACTCCTGGGATACACGGTGCAGAAGGCTGACACAAGATCAGGGGTAGGCCCTGCTGGGAAGGAGGGAGGAATAGGACATTCTGGAGTGGGGCTCTGGTAACTCCACAGGGTGGGCTGAGGTGGACTGAGTACACAAACCAGGTGTTTCAGTTAAAGAATCTTCTTGGGACCCCACAGCTGTGGTTCACGGTGCTAGAACATTATCACTGCACCAGATACACTGTCTCCAACCTCATCATTGGTAACTCCTATGCATTTTGAGTCTTTGCTGAAAATCAGTGTGGGCTCAGTGAGACAGCCCTGGTCACTTCTGACCTTGCCCACATCCAGAAAGCAGGTAAGGCGTGGAGATCCCAAGCTGGAAGAAGTAAAGGATGAACAGTTGAAGAGGGACAGGGATCTCAGGCACTATATCATGTGCCATCTCAGTCCCCTCAGCCACCATTTACAAGATTGAGGCAGGCGTTTGCCCAGAGAGATTTCTCCGAAGCCCCAAAGTTTACCCAGCCTTTGGCAGACTGCTCTACAGTCACAGGCTATGACACCCAGCTCTTCTGCTGTGTCCGTGCCTCTCCCAAGGGGAGTGGGGAGTTGTAGGGGGCTGTGGTGCTCTGCTTCCTGCTCTTGTCCTAACTGTAGCTATTTTGCAGAGCATTCTCATCAAAACATCTGCTACCATCACCATCATCCGCCTCTTCAACAGCAAGTTACATAGACACATTCAGGGCACTTGGAGTCTAAGACAGGCTGATGCAGATGATGCTTCCAGTTTTCTTTTCTTAATGTTTTATTCCTCATAGACAAAGATGTCACTTAATGGCCTGCTGGCAATTGGATATGAACTTCAAGTTGTCTTTCTGGAAGAGGCAATGGAGTCACAGTGGTTTTGCATTACTTACCCACCTACCCCTCATCCGACTGGGGACATGTACATACAAGCTGCCTAGAGTTAAGCCTTTGGCCATGAACCTGAACAAGGCTCTTTGTCTGTTTACAATCCAGTCCCTGTACTCCAAACATGGCATAAAACACTATTAACAACCTTTACCAAGAACCTTTTGTGTTATGAATCCTGGGCCAGAATACACGGGGATAACATCTCAGAAAGAGAACATTAATAAGCCCACTCTAGAAACTATTCTGTAGCCAGAGGGGACAGGAATGGCTCACAGCCAACTGAGAATAGAATATGAACGACTCACAATGTATATGTATAAAAAAGGGGAGATACCGACATCCAGTGCTTATGCTCCATGAAGGGGTTGTTTGTGCAGGATGGGACAGCAGGAGGATCTTTAGGTGCTGGAATTTCAACCCAGAGAAGGAGCTTGAGGGGCTGATGAGGATACTGGAAGGATAACCTCTTCCCACAAAGTAAGGGATGGGAGAGGCTTCCTGAAGACCAATATCTCCTTTAGATCCCTTTGCCATCTGCTCTTAAAGTATCCTGCTCCGCTTGTTGGTCTGTCTCCAAGCCTTATAGGTGAAACCCCAGGTACTGAACACAGGGAGTGGGGAGCTGTGGGGGGCTGTGCTGCACTGCTTCCTGCTCTTGTCCTAACTGTAGCTATGTTTTACGATGCCTTGCTGCCCCCTCCTCTTTATCTTCCAGCCCAAGATCATCTGGCTGAAGAACAAGATGGACATCCAAGGCAACCCCAAGTACAGAGCCCTCACTCACCTGGGAATCTGCTCCCTAGAAATCCGCAAGCCTGGTCCCTTTGATGGGGGCATCTACAACTGCAAGGCCATGAATGCCCTGGGGAGGCCTCTGTGGACTGTCGAGTGGATGTGAAAGGTAAGGGCAAGAGAAGAACTGGTGCCTTAGGGTGCCAATTATCCCCTCTCTCCACAGATGGAAAAGTCAGGAGACACAAACCTAGACAGAGAAAGGCTTGGTTTGCTTCCCCTTCAGGGCCACTCAATTACTGTCATCATCAGGATGTATTTACGAGCCATTTTTATTAGCCTCTATCTTATTTCTCCTCATCACAATTTTGTAATGTAGGAAGGCAAGAATCTTTATTTCCATTCTGCAAAGGAGAGACCTGAAGCACAGAGGAGGTCATTGATTTACCCAAGATTTCCAGCATTGGTTCATTGCAGAGCTGGCACTATGGTGGCTTAGAATCCCAAGACTTGGCTCAAATTCCTGCCACTTACTACCAGTGTGGTGCAAATGCTTAGTGCTCTCAGCTGCTAACCAAAAGGTTGGAGGTTCGAGTCCACCCAGAGGTGCCTCAGAAGAAAGGCCAGGTAATCTACTTCTGAAAAATCAGCCATTGAAAACCCTATGGAGCACAGTTCTATTCTGATGCACATGGAGTCGCCATGAGTCAGAGTTGACTGGCAAGACTGGTTCAGTTTGATCTGCTTTTTTACTACCGGTGTGACCTTGAGAGCAAGTCTTTTCAGGTTGCTGGTCTGTAACACTTTGCAGAATTGTTATGGAGATTGAGATAATGATTGTGAAGGTGCTTTTCAAATTGTAATGCACTATACATATTTTTGTTAATATTGTTACCCCAAGTCCCTGGTCCTCATCCAGATCATTTTTTCTTTAAACAAATCTTCTGACTCTCAGCCCAGGAAAGCTTCAGCTGTGTGTTGGGCTTTCTCCTCTAGTTTGTTTAAAGGGAATGTTATACATCCTCTCCACCTCTTTAAAGTATTCATTCATTTATCCTTTCCTGTCATTTTGTGCAGATCTCTATCATTGCATTTAGTACACTTTTATAATTATCTATTTACCTGTCTGTATCCCCACCGTGAGGGTAGGAAAAGTGTCTTATTCACCTTTGTTCCCGCAGGGTCTAGCCCAGTTTCTGACACACAATGGATACTCTATGAACGTTTGTTGCCTAATCAGGAATAAATGAGCAATTACATTCCTATTCTTCCCTGTGCATAGACTCTATAACTAGAATCCTGTTTTTGTCAAGCCGATTCTGACTCATGGCAACCCCACGTGTATCAGAATAGAACTGTGCTCTGTAGAGTTTTCAGCCGCTGATTTTTTAGATCACTAGACCTTTCTTTCCAGGTGCATCTGGGTGAACTTGAACCTCCAACCTTTTGGTTAGCAGCTGAGTGCATTAACTGTTTGTACTACCCAGGAACTCCAGCTAACACCATAGGCTCCCCCAAAGACCTGGGATAGAATATCCCCTCCCAATGCTCTGACAGGTTTTCCAGAAATTTCTGAGATGGTAATATTGAGAAATGTCTGAATTTTTGCAGCTCCTCATTGAGGCTACCTAAGAGGACACGGTCAACTCTGAGGAAGGTAAGGAAAGATGGACGGGATGTCAAAATGGACTATTTCATGTTTCTGGCTAGTGTTGTTGAGTCTGGGACAGATGTGTTTTCCTGAGCTGTCCAGCCATGCACTCACTCGTGACCACATTTAAAAAAAAAAAAAATTATAAGTTAATACTACCATCCCTGTGGAGGGAATTTACCATAGATGAAGCATATTTTTGTCACATCCTCTCTATATCTGTCCTCCTCAAGTTGATGATAGGAATTGAACCTAGTGGTCCTTTGAAGAAGAATGATACCATTTACCTAAGCATAATGGGGTCTTGTGGAAGGAGGATGGGCAGGTACTGCAAGAAAAGATGCCAAGGGAACAATTAGCAGTGGAGGAACCCACAAAAGGCACCCCCACCACATGGTGCAGGGTAGATAAGAAGAGAGGGTGCTGTTCCTGTCAATTGTTTCTACCTCAGTATTAGAAACATGGTAAGAAATAAATTTGTTTTTGTTTGTTTGTTTTTTATGGACTCCTTCCTCTCCAAGAGAAGAAAATCACCATGTTATGCTAAGAATAATTTAACATTTGGGTATGTGGCCCCAAGCAGCACATTATTGGCAAAGGCTGACTCAGATCATTATTTAGAATTTGATGCCTACTTCAGATTCTAAATCATTAACAGTAGAAATACGTACAAACTGATGAGTAAAGTGAAAAATGAGAGAATTAAAGAGAGCTAGTCCCCAGTGTGAAGGACGCCTAGTGGCACAGTGGTTAAGAGCTTGGCTGCTAACCAAAAGGTGGGCAGTTTGAATCCACTAGGTGCTCCTTGGAAACTCTATGGGCACTACTCTGTCCTATAGGGTTGCTATGAGTCAGAATTGACCTGATGGCAATGAGTTTTTTTTTTTACAGGTAGTCCCCAATATGAAGGAGCCCTAGTGGCATAGTGGTTAAGAGCTTAGCTGTTAACCAAAAAGTCAGCAGTTAAAATCCACCAGCCGCTCCTTGGAAACCCTGTATGAGTCGGAATTGACTCAACGGCAATGGGTTTGGTTTGGTTTTGGTAGTCCTCAATGTGAAGGAGCCCAGGTGGTGCAGTGGTTAAAGCGCTCAGCTGCTAACTGAAAGATTGGTGGTTCAACTCACCAGCCACTCCACGGGAGAAAGCTGTGGCAGTCTGCTTCTGTAAAGATTACAGCCTTGGAGATCGTATGGGATAGTTCTACTCTGTCCTCTAGTGTTGCTATGAGTCAGAATCCACTCGATGGCAGAGGATTTTTGTTTAGTCCCCAGTGTCCCATCTGATTTGCAGCTCCTGGCTGATAAATGTTGAGAATAAATTTGATCCTGCAAGCCACTATTAAGCCTGTCATTGATATATAGGAAATCAAAACCCTTAGGGATGCATTAAAAGCACAGTCTTCTCCTCAGGAGAGCTCTCTGCCAGGTGGCTGGCAGAGCCAGCTCTCTCTCCACCCCTCAGTGACCTCTCTGTGTTAGTGTTGTTAGTTGTCCTTTATCTCTCCCACAGCCAATACCCAGTGAGGAAGCAGGGTAAATAGGGAATTCATAGTATGAGACCAGGTAGGGACTGGGAAGAGGGATTGCTCAGTGTCCTGAATGTGTTCTGTTTCCTGTTATGGCCACAAACATACCCTCTCTTTTCTGTGCCTTCAGGAAGCCTGATTGTGACGAGACTGTGTTCTTTAGAAGCTCCAGCACAATGTCTGGTTTGGCGTCTAAATAAACGTGTGGATCCTCAATGCATATGGGTCCATCTGTTTGAGCCTTTCTACATAGGAAAAACATTTAGAAAGTTGGAATCCTTTGCCAGACCATATGGAATCTCAGGACCTCCGATTCCTCTTTCCCTTCCCACATCTATGTTCCTTTCCTCATTGTCCTTTTCCTTAGATAATCTATGACAGAACTGAATTAAACTCTATACAGACCAAATGCTGGAAAGAGATGTTGAAGATGACTTGCTCTCTCCCTCTATGGGCTTTCCAGGGTAAGTCGGGAGGACAGGATGCACATCTATCACAAAGACACGGATAGCAGTACACATAAATCTGTGCATAGCTGATTAAAGACAGAAAACCTAATCCTGAGAGCTGGGATGATACTGGAGAAACTGGAACACAGTTACATTAAGCCCTGGGGAAAGAGGTGGTGGCCAGTAGAACAACTAAGAGATTGAAGGTACTCTGTGAAGAGTGTGCAAAAGATGGCCACCAAGAATTCCTCCCCTCATTGTATGGGCGTGGTGCTTTTCCCATTAAGAGGTGAGTCTATTTCCTCTCCAGTAGAATCTGGGCAGACCATGTGAATTGCTTTGACCAATAGAATGGAGCAGAAAAGGATGTTGAGCTAGTTCTGAGCCTAGGCCTTAAGGGGTCTAGTAGTTTCTGCTTTTGCTCTTGGCAGGCCAGCTGCTATGTAAGGAATCTCAAGCTAGATTACTGAGTTATGAGAGGCCACAGCAAGCGCCAAGGCCCTAGACACGTGAGGTCACCTTGGACACTTCAGTCCCAGCCAAGCCCTGTCAACATCTTGTAGAGATAAGTCATCCTCGCAGAGCTCTACCCAGACTGCAAAATCCAGAGCAAGTAAATAGTCACTGTTGTTGCAAACCACTACCTTTTGGGTGGTTTGTTACACAGTGATAATAACTGAAACAGCCTTCTATGCATCAGGCTCTGAACTAAGTGCCTTATCTCTTTTAATCCTCATTTTACAAATGAAGAAACTGAAGCTCAGGAATGATAAATTGCTTCAAATCATGCAGCTATGAAGTAGCAGAGCTAGGATTTGAACCAGGCTTGTTTGACTCCAAAGCCTTCCCTATTTCCTCTCATTTCTTTCACCCAGTGACCCCCATCATAGTGAGTCTGGTTTGGAATCATGGATTTAAGAAAGAAAAGATTTCCAGGAGGCAGTAAATATTAAGCAAGGTTTTGAGGAGGAGGGGGGATGTGATTTGGCTGAGAAGAGAGCGAAGGGCTTTTCTGTTCAGACCAACGGTCTATTTTCAATTGAGGCAACGTATCTATTCCAGCCCTTCTCAACTGGAGTTCTAAGAGAGAATTAAGCCCGATGCCCCAAGGCATCTATTGTATGTTATAAATTAACTTCTCCCTCTGCATCTAGAATGTTCCTAGTTATGTGCCATCCTTGGGAAAACTGAGAAAATTGTCATGCAAATAATTTTCTGTAGGGTTTAATGCACTCGAAGGACTACTGTTGAGAAAATTTGTGGTGGGTCAGAGTCCAGAGCCAGCAGTCTCATAATGGTGAAGAGGCTATCCTCCAGCTGAAGCAGGGCCTAAGGAGCCTTGGTGGTACAATGGTTAAGCCCTCTGCTGTTAATTGAAAATTTGGTGGTTCGAACCCACCCACCTGCTCTGCGGGAGGAAGACCTGGCAATCTGCTCCTGTGAAGATTACAGCCTAGAAAACCCTATAGGGCAGTTCTGCTGTGTCACATGGGGTTACTATGAGTAGAAAATCTCATGAGATAGCACCTAACAACAACGATGCCTTAAGAAACAGTCAGATCTCCAGTCTCTGCCCACAGCCCCATGCTTCCTCTGCTGTTTGCTGAATTACTCAAGGGCTACCCCTTAAAGTTCATATATTCTCAACCTTCATGGTTCAGGAATAAAATCTTTACACTGAATAAGACCTCCAGCACAGTTAATCCTTCTGCTTTCAAGCACTACACTGGAGTCCTTAGTTTTTTCATTAATGCATTCAGCACTTATGGAGGACCTTCTGAGCTAAGGCTGACTATGTGCCTGGGGGTGGGGTATAATTTCTTCATTAATTCATTTATTCATTATTTATCTAGTACCTTAAACACCTGTTCATACTCATCATTTTGAAGTTGAGATGGTGGACAAATAATTCCCAGATAGTGGCCTGTTGCTGGGTGAAGAATTCTTGTGCCTGACATTTATACTTTCTGGCTTTGTTGTCATTCTGACGGAGAAGTAGTTTCAGTGCTTTTTTTTTCCTAGGACCACAAAAGGCTTCAAAACCATACTTTGGTGATAGAAAACTGGAGATGAGTTTCCTTACGAGAAACTAACTTCCAATTTGTTAAAACTTCTTTCCCCACTTACCCTCGGGTGCAGAAGTGTAGAGTTCCCCTACTCAGGCTGTTGTTGGTTTCCATCAAGTCAATTCCAACTCATAGTGATCCCATGTATGTCAGAGTAGTTTCACGGCTGTGACCTTTCGGACAGATCCGCCAGGACTGTCTTCCGAGATGCCACTAAACCAAAAAACCAAACCTGTTGCCATCGAGTTGATTCCAACTCATAGCCACCCTATAGGACAGAGCAGAACTGCCCCATAGGGTTTCTAAGGAATGGCTGGTGGCTTTGAACTGCTGACCTTTTGGTTAGCAGCACCACTGTACCACCAGGTCTCCAAGATGCCACTAGGTGGGTTCAGACAGCTGACTTTTTGGCTAGTAGCTGAGCACTTACTCATTTACTCCACCTAGGGTGAATGAATGCAGTCAACTAATAGCTTCTTCCCCTTTGATCTCCACTTCACCACTACCCACCTGGAGAGAAACAAGCTGTTGGCTCTGGTTTTGCCACCCTCCACAGACTCTGGATCCTACAAGTAGCAAGGAAAATTCTACCTTCACCAGCAAGTCTGCAGAGAGAGGGGCAACCTTCTGTCAGCTCTTCACATCAACTTGCAAGTTCTGAGCTTCTCCACCCTTTCCCTTATCACCCATCCCACCAAATTTCAAGGCTTCTTTGCTTCCCATGGCATTTATTACAGTAATATCTCACTCCCACAGACCTCTCCACCTCAACTTCACAGCTAAAAACTAGGAAGTAAACAAAAAAGCCTATCAGTAGCCAAAAGAGTGCCCATAAACTCTGGGGACTCAAGCTCAGGCTCTTTGTTTACAGGAAAGCTCCTCAGCCATTCTCTCAGGACCTTTTTACTTTAAAATTGTAAGAACAATTCTAAGAAGCTCTGTTAACTGGTGACATAGCCTATTCCCAGGCAACAGTTAGAAAGAAGAGAGAGGAAATCTCTAATAATTATGATTAAGCATTTTACAAACACAGCTTTTAGTTCAGAGGCAGCTAGTTATAAATAGCCCCTCAAAGCACTGAGGGTACACAGTATAAAATTTGACTTTCATCATTATCCTCCAAACCATCCCTACAGGTATTACCATCCTTGTTTTATGGATAAGTAAACAGAAGCGTAGAGAGGTCCAAATATGCTCAAGCTTATCCAGCTTGATTTGAACTCAAATATCCCTGTCTGAAAAGCCCACTGTTTTCAACAGCAACTCAAAAGATCAGCCAGGAAAACTTAGGGAGCAGTCAGTTTATGTTACTGCTTGAGGAACAATTCGGAAAAGGAGGGTGAGAATGGTTGCACAACTTGGAAAATGTAATGAATGTCACTGAATTGTCCATGTGGAGATTATTGGTGACTGTTCTGCTGTGTACATTCTCAACAACAACCAATTAAAAAAGCCCGTTTTCTTTACACTTTGCTGCCTCAGGTTCCGAATGTTCTTGCTTAAGAAAGAAAAGGAGAATATACGTCCTGGAGAACCTTAGTATGCCTAAAGCATGTTTAGGTGCTTCCGTAACTTGGAACAAGCACAACAGAGGAACAATTGGCAATGCAGTGCTTGCATACTGAGTGCATCCACGGAAACCATTTTCCTCAGGCCCATCGCGGGGCGTTAGATAACCGGGGCTTTCTATTCGCCCGCCTCCGGCAGGCCGACCCCCGAAGGGGGCCCAGAACCGGGGAGGCGCCGAACCCGCCACCCGTAAGCCAGCCGTTCTGCGATCAAGGGAAAACGAGGAGGGGGCGGAGAAGAAAGGATAGGGCGCGACACCGACACTCATTGGTCCGTTCCTCGCGCGCCGCCACATTCTGCTGGGGCTCCGCTCCGCTTTCTGCCTGAGAGCAGAATGTGGGTGTCCCGGGTACACGGGCTCGCCCCCGGCCGCAACCGGCCGCCACTCAAAGGCCCTCACGACGGAGACCCCGCCCCTCCGGCTTCACTTCCGGCTGACAGCCCGCTGCGGCCCCACCCCCCCCTGGGGCGGGGAATACCCGGATTCGCCAATCACTGTGCGCCTATGGTGGGAGTGGGTGGGGCTTAAGAGATTTGAAAGGAGCCCCGCCCCTTGGTAGCAGATTCCCGGGATTAGATTGCTGGGCAGAGGCACCTTTCGCGGGAGGTGAGACAGAGTGGGAATGGAAGCTGTGGGTGGGCAGGAGGTGTGGTGTGGGTGTGGTACTGCGGAGGGCGGAAAAGTATGGGGAGAGGATAGACTCGGAGGATAGTGGCGGAGAGATAGATGGGGCGCGCAGACCGCCCTCAGTGGAGAGAGGCCAGGGCGCAGGGGTCGGGAGGATAGACTGTGAAGGGAAATGGGGTGTAGAGGCAACTTTTCGGACCTTCCAGGACTGCCCTGTGGGAACAGGAGGAGGTAATGGGTGGGGGTGGGGGGTAGTTACAGGGAAAAGAGCTACCCCTGGGGCGCTTGCTTTGCCTCCAGCATGACCCCCAATTCCTGGCTTGCACCCTGAGTCGAGCTGAGATCCTTGGGCAGGATGGAGATCTGAGGAAGTAGTGGTTTTCTCTCCAGCTCGGGTCTAAGCTGACTCTTGCTCCTGCTAGCTGGAACATGGAAGATTTGGAGGAAGGTAAGGAAACCCCGGAGGGAAGAAGGAGGCCCTGCAATTGAAAGCTATGCCAGGGGCCCAGTGGCTGGTATTCATTCTTTTCTCTCCTTCAGCTGTAAAGTTTATTGTGGATGAGACCTTGGATTTTGGAGGGCTGTCACCATCCGACAGGTACCAGCCTCTTTATTCCGCTTATTGTCTTCCAACACCTCTTTATCTCTGAGCCTTTCCTTACTGCTCAATTATTGGCCTCTGGGGCCTGAGTTGGTAATTTGGCAAGGTTTGGTGCACAGGGGCTGCTAGGTGGCTGGTTAACTTGGATCTCTGTGGCACAGTTGGGGGAGGGGAAAAGAAATAAGTCTGGAGTGAGATCTCAGGGTGTTAAGGAGAAGAGTAAGTGGGTTTGCTGCATCTTCATCCTGCCGGAATTTCCAATGTTAGTAAATGCTAAAGGCCTATTAGGCCCCATAGAACCAGGCATCTCATCACCCAGATGCCAGATCTCACAGTCAGCATGGGCTTCAGGGTTTGGGACTGTGTCCCTGGCTCTGTTTTGGGGTTTTTGCCTAGTCCCTCAGAATTTTTGCTTGCTGTCCGGATCTCTTTACCTAAAGAGGCAGAAAGAGGCACAGCTTTAAATTGCCCTTCTTCCTCTAGCCCATTTGTCACCCAGCTGAGTGAGTCTCACCAGCTGGGAAGAAATGGGACCCCCACGCTCCAGGCTCTCCTCCTTGTCCCCATCATCATCCTCTCTTTTATGTGGGCATGGTGCCTGGTTTAATTTGTGTCTCAGTCGTGAGGAGGAAGACGTAGCAGTGTTGGCGACTCCAGAGAAACCACTCCGACGGGGCCTTTCCCACCGAAGTGACCCAAATGCAGTGGCCCCTGCCCTCCAGGGTCCAAGGTTCAGCTTAGGCCCCCTCAGCCCGGAGAAGCTGGAGGAGATCCTCCATGAGGCCAACCAGCTGGCAGCTCGGCTGGAGCAGTGTGCCCTGCAGGAGCGGGAGAGCACAGGCGAGGCACCGGCCCCACGCCAGGTGAAGCCCAGCCCTCGGCGGGAGACTTTTGTGTTGAAGGACAGTCCTGTCCGAGACCTGCTGCCCACTGTGAGCTCCTTGGCTCGGAGTACTCCCTCCCCAAGCAGCCTTACACCCCGACTCCGGAGCAGCGATAGAAAGGGGTCGGTCAAGTCTCTTCGGACAACATCTGGAAAGAGGCCCACCAGTGTGAAGAGGGTGAGTTTGGAGGGTTGGGTTGGGTGTGTGCCACCAGACACAGGGCATGACATGGTGCAGGGGTAGAATGGTTTCCTCACTGGTAAAATGGGGATAGTGATGCCTGCCCTGTAGAATTGTTGGGATTAAACAAATACCACAAACAAATGACTTAGCACAGTGTCTGATCTATAATAAGTGCCCAATAAGTAGTATTGGTGATGGTGATGATGATGTCGGCAGCTAACTTCTGCCCTGCCCTTTCTGGGATCTAGGCAGCTCTCTGCCTCTATCCCTTAATAAGCCAGCAGAACAGATTTTTTCACCATTTCAGTCCTTTTTTTTCCTCTTTGTGTTTCAGGAATCGCCCACTTGCAATCTGTTCCCTGCATCAAAAAGCCCAGCATCTTCTCCCCTTGCCCGATCAACTCCTCCAGTCCGATCTGCCCCTCCAATCCGATCAACCCCTCCACTCCGATCAACACCTCCACTCCGATCAACCCCTCCACTCCGATCAACCCCTCCACTCCGATCAGCCCCTCCAATCCGGGGAAAAGCTGGGCCCAGTGGGAGAGCAACAGCAGGTGAGAAGACCTGGGCAGCAAAGCTATGGGAGAATGGGAGTGGGGACGATATGGAACTTATCCTGAATTCCTCTACTCCTCTCCACCAGGACCAGCTGCCCCTGCCAGACCAGTCCTGGCCCCACAGCCTTCTACCAGCAACGCTCAACGCCTGTCCCGGCCACAGGGTACAGCTGCTAAACCTTCAAGTCGACTGCCTATCCCCACCGCCCTCCCCAGGCCTGCCGGCCGAATGCCACTCTCCAGTCGGAGTGTACTACCCTGCAAAGGTGGCCTACCTCCAGATCCTCTGCCAAGTCGGAAAGGGCTTCCAAGAGCAAGTGCTGCAGGGCACAGAGGTGAGGAAGTGTGGGCGGCAGCATAGGGGTAAGAAATCGGGAAGAAGAATACCAGCCCTTGCCCAGCTTGCCCTCACCCTCCTAGAGCTGGCAACAATGACCACTTCCTCTGTCTTCATTAAAACTCTCTTCGAAGATGGGGAGACGGGGTTACAGAGGGAATGTGAAATTGGGCAAAGAGTCTGAGTCTTGGTTCCCAAATACCTGATGTCTTTTACCTTGGGAATAGGAGGTACCAATCCCAAACTCACTCTGCCTTCATCCAGTATTTCTTTTTGAGGTCAGTTGAACATTCTACTAACTTATTTCTTTTGTTTACCTCCATCAAGTTCCTGTTTCCCAGCGACCAAATCTTCCTGTCACTGGTGCCACTCGCAGCAGTCTGCAGCCCCCCAGGAAAGTTGCAGTCCCAGGACCTACCAGGTAGGTCTGGTTGAGATGCTTTTTCTCTCTCCCCTGTCATTCTGGGCTTCTAAGCTGTCATGCCATCATTCCAGAGTTCTCTGCGGGCCTTGTGGCAAGATGGAGATAAGGAGGAGAGCCTGGGGCATGGGGATCCCATTTCTTTTCAGCTGGTGAGACTCACTCAGCTGGGTGACAAATGGGCTAGAGGAAGAAGGGCAATTTACAGCTGTGCCTCTTTCTGCCTCTTTAGGTAAAGAGATCTGGACAGCAAGCAAAAATTCAGTAGCCAACCACTACAGTCACTGCCTGGACTCACCTCTACCTGGCCTCCCAAGCCCTCCAGATTCTGGCCCAGGGACAGGAGGAAGAGATGCTGCCAGAGCTGGTCCTCCAGGAGCTGAGACCTTGGGAGATGGAGTGGATTAGGGTTGAGCTGGAGGGGAGTCAAACGCTCTGGGTTGAAAGCAGATTAAGTAAAAAGAGGTTGCCTCCTGGTAGTGAAATTAATGAACAGAAAATGAAGAATGCAGGAAAGTGGTTTGCCTGATCCACCCCCACTCTTGCTTTCAGCCCCAGAGAGTTTGATCTTCCAGGCATTGTTTTGCTGGAGGTTTACATGTGTGTGGCCTCTGTAGCTAACCTCCCTGCTCTCTGAGGAGAGGCCTTCCTGAATCACCTCCTCTACTGGAATCAGGCCAGTTTGGAGAGGCAGAGGCAGGCACCTGGTCTCCAGAACTTATTTCCTGTGAATTCTCTGACTCCTAACAGGCCAGTTTATGATAAACTTACTCTACCAGTCTGCATTTTTCTAAAATAAAGTAAATGTATTTTTATATTGTCTGAAAGTGGATTCTGCTCCAATTTCTAACAACCTTGGAGTAACCTCTGTGTAATTTCAGTGAGGGAGCCAGGATGGGCTTCCCAGGCAGGGGCCTGAATAGGCTCTAGGGCCTTGAGATTCCAGCTCATCAGACTGTAACTACCCTCCTTGTTGGCATTAGATAGGAACAGGCTGCCTCTTCCCATGATTCATGGATTATTAGAAGGTCCAGATCAAAGTTAAGTATAGCTGAATTCACAGTGTGTGAGGCTGTGAAGCCAGGGTCTAGGAAGATTACCACTTATATTCTAAACTTGAGTGTCCTTCCCTGACATGAGAATGAGACCTCCTAGGAACTCCCCAGCTGCTTATTTGCTGTGCTGATGGGATGCGGGGCCCTTGTTGGGTACCTTGGTGTTCAGTTTCCCTGATCACTTCAGCCAGATGATGTTGGAATACCTCATCACGCTCTACATCATTAGTCTCTGGTCTCCTCTTCTCTCCCCTTCTAAACTTGAGGGCTGGCACCAGGTTTGAAAACCTCTGCAGGCCTGGTGTTGTGACTCGTGCCTGGTAGAGTTTCATTAATTTATTCGGAAAACATTTGAATGCAAGATGGTGGATGTTTGCTGAATGAATGACAAAGACTCATTTAATAGATTCAGGATAGTGTCTCCCTTTCCCTCCATCTCTGACTCTTGCATCCAGAACCAAGTCAGTTCCTTGTAAGTTTTCAGGGAAATTCCCTGCTTGAAAACCAGACCATGACTTAAGGAAGCTAGCAGGCAACTGGGCAAAGGGCAGTTGGACTGCCAGCTGCGCCCCCCTTCTCCCCCGACATGCCTACAAGTACCCTACTTAGGCATTGGAGTGCCCTTCCTCTGTCCACGGGGCCAGCAGTTCTCCAGCACTTTCTCCTTTTTATGGCTGATCTTAAGGTTTGTTTAACTCATTCACCTGTTTAACAACGATAGTGGTCTCGACATTCTCCTTTCCCTGAGCCTCTTCTTGAAGCAACTCCTGCAGCCTCTGGGATTCCAAGATTTGATGTGGAAGAAATGGGTGTGGAGACAGACAGTAAGTTATTTGGCTCTGGAGAAATTAGACATAAGGGCAAGAAAACCTCAGATATGAACTTTCCATCTGTGTCCTGCACTGGTGTGACAGGGCCTGTTGAGGGCAATGGGCAGGGCCTGTTGGTGATTTCCGGCTCTGGAAGGTCAGCAAGCCAAGGAACACACCTAGGTGTGGCTAGCAGGTGGCACATTGGTGTGAGCTGCATGCAGGCCAGGTGAACAGCTGCGGATCCATTGCGCTGTTGCCACCTGGTGGCTGGAGAGGACACAGCATGTTCCATTCACCGCTCTGGTCAGTCTTGATTTTGTTCCCCTCCCTGTCCCCTCCCACTCCAAACCAGCTTAAGCTGCACATTCAGTGCCAGCCAGGAGAAGGCCTACCTGCCACAGCTGCTCTTCTTGTTCAGCTATCTGCTTACTTCCTTCCCTTTTGGCCTGGTTTTCTATTTTATCTCTTTATGCACTCTAGCTCCACCCCTCCTCACTCCCCCTAACCACTCCCACCCCCCAGTAGCAACAATAAGGGAACGCAATGATTATTGGCCACTTACAATGCACTGTGAACTGTTCTAAGCACTTTACATGTGTTAACTCATTTAATCCTCATAAAAACTCAATTAGATGGATGCTATTATCATCATCCTCATTTTGCAGACAGAGACACTGGATTCAGATTAAGTCACTCAGTCTGGTTCCAGGGTTTGTGTTCTTAAACACTACCTATGTTGCCCTAATGTTAACCCTGCGTCTAGTTTGTTGAACAGGCCTTTAAAAAACACAAGATTTGGGAAGAGAAGTAATGTTGCAGAGCACATAGTTGGCCAGAGTTTGAGTGGTTGCTTCATTTTCCACCGGCCACAATTCACCCCTCCCTGCTGCCTACATTCTGCCCCCAGGAAGCGTGTCCCTGTCAGACTCAGCCCTGAGGGGCTGAGGTGGAAAGGTGTCCTCTCCATGCAGCCCTACCAGCCAGACAAGCCCTTCCTTTCCTCATGAGGACACTCGCCCACCGGCCTGCCACATCTTCCTTGGAAACACCAGGACAGGGGCTTTGGGCTGATGAGGCTATTTGGGGAGCACTGCTGGAGATGCCAGGAGAGGGACTAGCTCATCGGCCAGTTAGTATCTGGGTCTCCCTGTCCTCCTGGTGGAGCCTTCCAGAGCTTTCTGGGCCCTGCTTGCTCTTTTGTTTTCCAGAAACCAGGCATCACACAGAAGCACATGATGACAGTACTCGACCCGCACAGAACTAGTTTATTCAGTAGTATGGGGAAATGAAAACAAACACAACAAAACCCTACCACATTTACAGTTACAATCAAACTGTACAATCGGATGGTTAGTATCAAGTTAGCATCCAGCATCTTTGTTTTTGTTTTTTTTTTAAGTCATCAGTAGTAAAAACCAGTTAAATTTTTAACCCTTTGCAGGAATTGATGTGGGGAGAGGGTAGGGGGAACATTCCATGGCAGAAAATCCAGAGACCAGCTTACAAATCAGAAACAGGAACACTTTTTTCTGCCCACAGCCTCTTTTTCTTGCCACCTGCCCCAGGAGGAAAGTCAGTGTGACAAGTCTGGAACACATGCTTGGAGTAAATGCTGACTCAAATGAAGAGCAGCTGGCAAAACTGGGGGGGCAGGGGAGGAGTGGGGGGGAGGAGGGATGACAGCCGGGGCTGAGGGAAATGGTGCCAGGCCCCCACACCGAGGCTGCTGGGTATACACCCAACCTGTGACGCCCACATCAGACCCCCTGGGACTGGACACAGACCCATCCCAACACAAAAAGCAAATAAATAAAAAAAATATATATTAACTCTCTCTTCGCAGGGAACTGGGGGTAGGCGGGTGGAGGAGAAAGTGGAACAGGACCTGGTCCTTTGAAGAAGAGAGCCAATTCCAAGAAGGGGTTAAAAATAAAACATGTCTCAGAGGCCACAGCAGGTCAGACAAAGCGGAGTCTGTCTGATTTTCTGGGGGTGGGCAAGTGGAAACAGAACCCAGACTTGAAACCTGTGCTTGAGGCCACTCTGTATTTTCTCTTCCTCCCGATCCCACCCACACAACAGCAAAGAAGCACAACTTAACACGACTGGCCTTCCCCAAGTGCGGGTCGGCGGGTGCGACAAATGAAGCACTTTCGGGTCAGCAAACTGAGCAAACACCTGGGCTGTAGCGCATGGCCAGAGTCCAGGAAAAGGAGAGGGGCTGGGGGCCCCGCCCCCACTTGGGGGCACAGGCTCCCCTCAAAATGTGTTCATGCAGCATTTGGGAGTCCAGGGGCGCTGAGTCCTTCTGCCCCCTCGTGGGGCAGGGCTTTTTCAGTTCCTGGGAGAGGCAGTATTCCCAACCACCTTGCCATACTGAGGTCTGCCCGGTGCAGCCTGCAGGGTTGGACACCCTGGGGGCATGTGGCTTTGTCCTTTCCTTTTGGTGATGGCAACTGAGGGGCAGACCCCCCAAGAGTCCCTCTCCTCCCAGAGGCACAGCAGATGGGAAACTGAGGAGAGGCTGGGGTGCATCCTGGGAGGGCCTATCCTCTTTGGGAAGGGAAAGGGAGTCAGTTTCCAGCGTATAAAAAAAATGAATCCCTGAAGTCGTGAAGAGTGGAGATCCTTTTTTAAATTCTTTTTTTTCCTCTTTTCTGAAAAACTTTTGTCTTGGAGATGTTGGCCCCAGGGGTCCAAAGTGCAGTGAGGGGGATGGTGGGGGAGGGAGTTGGCACTAGTTGGCCTTAGGTGGGGTGGGTGCCCCTCCTGGCAAGGCCCGGGCTCCTCAGATGGACGTTTCATCGCTGCTGCAGGCAGGCGGTGGGGAGCGGGGGCAGGATAAAGCACAAGACAGGAGTAGGGGCATGAGTGCAGCTGGGGAAGGTGGGGGAGCCTCAGGTGTAGGTCCCACCGGCCCAGGGTTAATGCAGGAAGTTAAAGAAGAGAAATCTGGAGAGGCAGGAAAGGAAAGTGACAGAAAAGGCAGACAGAGGGTTAGTCAGAACAGAGGGGACAGTGAGAAGCTTTCACCAGAAGGAGGAAACAGAAAAGCAACCCAGCTCCCCACCCTCCCTCACCTTGCCTTAGGCCAGACTGGGATGTAGAGAGCCCGGGAGGGAGGTGCACCACCTCACGGCCCATGGGCACTGAGGTTTGTGGGCATGTCCTTGGAAAGGAGCTGGACCACA